CATACAAACATATACTATATATACACTTTTTCTTTCCTATTTTTCGTCCTGTCTAGTTTCTATACCCTTCCAGAGTCTGTGAGTATTATACGTGTAGCATTATCAAGGATTATTGTGTTAATTTTCGAAATATTTTGCCTTTTTCAGTGAAGTTCGAGTTTTCGCACTTCGAATCTGTGGATGCTTACGACAGATCCTATCGACGTTCAACAACGCTATCCCTTTAATGTCCCGAATTGCTATAAGGACAAAAAAAAAAGAGTATCCCTATCAATGTTATGAGTACTAGGAGCTTCGACCCGGCTGGGCCAACTTTTCTCCCTTGTTAGTTAGTTAGTTAGTTAGCTACCCTCTAATCCGACCTCTCGCCCGCTCCTTTCCTTTGCGCCGCTCGTTTGACAGGCCGTTTTCGGCGCTTTGATTCGAAGCCAAGGGACGTGAGGTTGCGGCAGGCTGAAAGCCTATGAAAAATGATGTATGGCTGTGTATCAGTATGTCATGTGTGAATGTGGGCAGGGTGGACGAGATGCCTTTGGCAGGGGGTTCCGCCTGGCACCGTTTCTCATGTCGAGTGGCTCCTATGGACGGGTGTGTGTGTGTGTGCTTTTGGGTGGCATGTCTTATATTTTTCGTTCGTTTGTTAATTGAAAAATGTTGCCTACATGAAGCCGACGATGACGACGACGATGACGAGGAGCAGCTGCAGATAGGAGGAGTGAGCAGTAGGTTGGGACAACGATGCCGGGCACACATCATCAAAACTTGTCAAAGTCATACACTCCCCGCCCCGCCATCGCTCCACATATTTCCACTGCCACCATCCGCCGAAAACATGTCTTGGAAATTATAATTTATAGCTTGTCGTTGGCCGTTCTCGTGGCGGCTGCTTTTAGGCAGAATTTGTTTTTATAGGCCAATACCCTGGAAAAACACTCATTACCTTAGCTTTCAGGCTAATGAAACTCAAATACTTGGATATTGTGAAATTAAATATAGTAATGTTTCCAAGCTTGTTTGCCAAGGAAACTACCAGGCAATAGTGCATTCTCTAGTCACTCCTAGTCATACTCCAGTGCTTTCCAAAAAGGGCAAGTTGCATGTCAGTTAGATTCGCTCATAGCGCCAAAGCAAAATGCCTTTACAGCCAGATGTGGTCTTTCTATTGCTCTTCTCTGCTCTTTATTTTCGTGTGTGTGAGTGTTCGTGGCCTGGAAATTAATTAGCAACGGAAATTGCGCTAATAAACTAACAAATTTACGAGCTACATCCGCGCCAGGCCATCCTACAGCCACGCCCAATCGAACGGAGGCCGTTCCTTCCAGACAGATCTTGATGCTGCCCTTCTCTCTGTTCGCTCCTCTCTGCTATCTGCTACTCTTGCCAGCGAGCGGAAACACTGAAGTGGCCTGCACTAGAAACCAAAATAACGAAAAACAGCAGAGAAAGTCTGTCCCTACAAACAATTTATACCCTTATATGTAGATCCTGGCTCACATCTGAAAATTCATTATACATTTTCGGAGATCCAAGTTCATCAGTAAAAGTGGGTTCAGTGCCAGAGTTTTATCGGTTTTATCATGAATGTTCTAAGAAATTAACCAAAAAATACTGTATGTATTATAAAATAAAAGGAGAACAAAAAAACCTGTGTGTACAAACGGAATTAAAAAAAAATATATATAAATAGCCATTTTGCTTTGCTGCAACAAGCAGCGGCAATGAAACAAGGGCTTATAAAATAAGGAAAAATATATACAAAACTATGTCTGTAGTACGATTTTAATGTATTCATGTAAGCTGAAGGACTATTGATTGTAATTTGAGATGTATCTTGGTCTAAAATTGTATGAAATAAGCAAAGCAAAAGGGCTACAAAGTTTTGGGAAAAACAGTTTCCTTATTTTAGAATTTATTTAACCGCAACAAATATATCCGCCAGTCAGCGGACTGTCTGTAATGCCTTCTCGCCACACTGCCCCACTCTTGTAGCATCACTCCTCTGCTCTCCAGCGACACACACATGAGTGTGCTCCACCACGTCCTCGACTTCACCTCTCCAGTGGGCAGTCACCTGCTGACAGCTGGCTGAGTCGGAGGAATCCTTTGCAGCATCAACGCATCGCATCGCTGACTTTAAACGGTCGGGAGTCGTAAATCGCCAAAAGTGGATAACACACGCTGAACAGAATGTGATGGGTGATGGAACAGAAACGGAAAGGGCACAGGAAGGGTGGAGCAGGACAAGCGATGGGAAGTTGACAGATTCTGGGGAGCTGTAGAGCAGCTGAATTTGTAGAAGAGACAAGAAGAAGTGGGCCTGGAATCATGAAATGGAAAACAAGAGAGGAGACCACAAACCAGTCCGACAGACCGTTCGTTTCTATTTCAGATATCCGATATTGATCATCTTTATTTGAGCCATATACAAACTGAGTTTTTCATTCGTATCTTACGGCTATCTCTTAGCTCTTAGCTGTACTGCAAATACAATGCTTATTAGAGGTTCTCACTTTGCGAACGGAAGGTCGCCCTAAGACGTGGCACCGCAACAGAGAGGCCTCGGCCGAAAAGAGGTAACAAACATCATTTTTCAAGAGAACTTTCAAGGACTTTTTAAAATGGAAACTTGAAAAATATCACAGTTTTGAGTGTAGGAGATAGGAGCCATTAAAATTGGCTATTTTTTTAGTGCAATTTTTACTGCATCTTCCAGGTAGGATAAATATTAATAATATAAAAGGCAGAACAACGTTTCCTGGGTCACAAATTACAGTTGCGACAACATATATATATATAATTATTAGAGCCATTTGTAGGAGGATTGTTCGGATCTCCCTGTCGGGTCATATTTATCACTCACATCCAATCACAACGAGGTTTGCTGTTGTGCTGAGAAAAACAAGCCTTGAAAAGAGGTATAATTAAGTTTTCTTCATCTGCAAGAACAAGTTTCGCTTGTCCAGAGCCTGATCACAGGAACCACCTCCATTGGCCAAATCGCCAAAGGCCTCTAAGGAAAACCAAGTATTTCCCACGCCAAAATATTCAAGTACACACAATATACGCACCTTCTCTAGTCCAGCGTCTGTTCAGTTCCAGCCATCTCTGTGACAGACCTTTTGCCCATGGGCTCTGCCCCAAATCTCTATATATATTTCCTTGTTGTGCCCGACATTTCCAGTTTGGTACGTCTTTTAAGGCTGGAAAATTCAAATTTGGAATAGAATGACAATTGCAACTGCAGTTCGTGAAGTTTCTTATACGGTTCGATAGTTCTATCGATACTATCGGTGGTTAAGCAACCCAACATCGATTGTTTAAAAATTTAAAGTTGTATTCATATTTCATCCATTATGTACATAGCCAATCTCCAACGAGCTCTGTCCTGTAAATGCAGGGTTCGGAAAAGAAGCTCGGAAATAAAGTAGCTTCAAGTCATGCAACGGTTTTTTAGAAAACGGTTGCAACTTTACAGATAAATCCTCGATTCCAGTCATTCGAGAGCCGTCGGGCAAACATTTTGATGAGCCCATTATTTCTTTGCAGAGTGTGGCCCTCCTTGTTCGGCCTCAATTATTTCAGCTATTTTTAGTCTTTATGGTGGGAGCCCTGTGCCGCTGATAAGCTATTTCACAGTTTTTCAATAATTAAACTTCTATAGGTTTATTGAACAATATCGATCTTTTACGGCTATTGGACAAACCACATTGGACACGGTTGCGTCTGCGCACTAACCGTACATAACCATACATAATGGTCTGCGCAATCCGTTTGATAATCGCAAGCCACAAATCAGCTGTTTTTGTGCATCGATTTCCGATGTACGATCGAAGTCGATAACAGCTATGATTCTCTCTCTCTCTCCATTGCAATAGTCAGATTATATTGGAATCGCCGCTTACAAGTACATTGCTAAAGAAATCAAACAAAAAAGAGCATGGAACGCGGGGAAAAGAATGTGAGTAGAAAAGACCGATGGGATGGGAACGTGCAACACATATGTAATTGTCTCGTTGCTAATAAATTGCCACGCAGAAGCAGAAGCCGACACAGGAAAAAGAGAACAACAAGTCTGAAGACGCAGCCTCGGAGGCCGTAGGCTCCGGCGTGCGTAAATCGGACGAGGATTTCGTCGATTTTTACGAGGGCGTTGTGCTCGGACCGCCCCAGCAACGGATGCTCTGCAAGGCCGTACCAGAGGATGTGCTCGGGGACTATGAGCAGATGTTCGAGACGATCGGGAATGTCACTAAGGAAATAGTTGACTTCGGCAAGTACGAAGTATACGTGATGCTGTATCCCACTCTGGCCATTGGCTACCTGCAAATGGTGTGGAGCGGCAAGTATGAGAGGGCCATATCCTTCGTGGGTAGGAACGAATACAAGTTGGACGATTCCTACAAGAGGCGCATCGAATATCTGAAGCTCATCCGCACGCCAGAAGACCTACCGGAAAGAGCCCAGGAGCTGCTATCTGGTGCGGACACAGTGGAGATATTCATGGCCAGGAGCACCTTGAACCAGTTCAAATTACTCCAATCTCAGTTTTGGACAAAGGGGCAGCTCAAGACGTTCTTGTCCCACTTTAAAATCTTCATCTACTCTGATGAGATGATGCCCCAGGAGCGTATCCACCTCGATCGTCTTTTGCCGACGCCATTTGCCGACGCCATTTGCCTGGGCTTCCGTGGACGCCATTCCGGACAGGCCGTGCGGCCACATCGTGGCAAGGACTGGCTACGCATGAACACCCCGCGAAGGGAGATGCTCTTTGTCAGAAACTCTTTGCGCACCACGGGACCATCAGTGTGGCGTTCGACCCACCCGAAGGGCTGCTACTTTGCCACCGCCTCCAACGATAATGTGGCGCGCGTGTGGAGAGTGGATCCCGCAAAGCACGTTGTGAGTTTCTTCAGTCACTTGGCAGGATTGGAGGTGTGCCTTTTCCATCCGAATGGAAAGTACCTGGCCACTGGATCGGCAGACGCCACCGCCAGAATCTGGGACTGCGACAAACGCACTCAAATGCGACTCTTCCGCGGCCACAAGGCCCCCCCCCCCAAGGCTCCCCCCCAAGGCTACCTGGTCTCTGGTGGCCGAGATGACCTGATCAATGTCTGGGACACAACCATCGAGCGAATAGTCTACAGCCTGCCCCAGCCCAACGCAAATATTGCCTCGATCGATTTCTCCTACTGCAACAATCTGCTGGTTGTTTGGAGCCAGGACTGCCATCTGAGCCTTTGGGAGTTTCAGCTGCTCGTCAAGTGCCCCGAGAAGAAGGTTTCGTCCACCCAAAGCACCAAAGCAAGTGAGCTGGCGCTAATCAGCACGATTCAGGCCTGTAAAAATGGAATTTTCCTTCAAAGTGGGTTCGTCGGTCGCGATGCCCTGATTGTCATCTGGACGATGAGTTCTCGGAAGGTAATAGCGTTAAGCCCGAAAGCAGCCGAGAAGAAGACTGGCGTTGTGAAGGCTCTTGAAACTTGTACTTTGAATACAGAGAAATGATGAGATTGGTAGGTCGTGTCTCAGTTAAATGAAGTTCTTAAACTAATCATGTTCCATTGGCATATTCTATTGCACCTTCAGATGCAGAAATAGCTTCTCGGACCCAGGCGCTGAGGCGAGTCATCGATGGAAAGCACCGTGGATTCCATGAACATACATTCGATTCATTTATATAAACGTAAACATACACAGCCCAAACTTCAAACATTAAAACTAACCATTCGGATCCCACTCATTGTTTGAGCTGTAAGTTTCCACTGGTCAAAGCAAAGGCCTTCCCTGATTTTATGTGCAATATTGTTCTGTTTTTCAGAATATATATCAATGATTGCGGCACTCCCTGAGTGGCCCCAAAAGACTATTTAAAATACGGTAGACAAGTGCTGAAAGTACTTCGCGGTTGCATTCAACTGTTTTGTGGTCTGGCTTCCGGAACTCTCAATCCACTCCACAGCCCACGCGACTTCACAACAAATGGAGCTACAATTTATGGACCGGCACAAACCCTCTGAAAGACGAACCGAATGCATTAAGTAAAATTTCCATTTTGAAAAATTACTGATTACTGACTATCTTGCAGACATTGAATTTTGTGTGTGTTGGGACAATTGGAAATGGCATTATTTATGATCATCCATTGAGGTCACAGCTTACATAAATATGTAGAAACATGTGCATAATTGATTACAGATATGTATAAATGTAATACAATATGTGAGAATTGGGGACCGCAGCTGCTGGAATCTCAAAAAAGATGTCCAAGGAATGAATGTGTAATATTTCAATCTAAGCCATTAAATGATGTCCAGACACATTGTCTTTCTTTTCCCTTCCCACTTGGATCCAGGGAAGAGGATTCGAATTGGGATTGGGATTGTAAATATAAAATACAAATGTTCAATCTAAATTAAGCATAAACCATAGGAATAGGCCATAGGAAGGCCGATCAGGATGTCAGCCAGTCCTGATCAACAATCAGCTGATACCTGCCAATAGTTCCGATACATACGTATAGATTAGCTGTCTAAGAAATACAACTAACACCTAATCTATGCAATCAAATTGATATCAGTTAAGATAAGTTGCATTATCTATTGCTTATAACGACATTTGGGTATGACTACTACTACAAATTTCGTTGGCCCTTTAAACGTCGCCCCAAAGGAACAACTATTTCATCGAAGCCCACTGTTAATTTACATAAAAATGTTTACCAAATCCATGACAGAAAATACTCAATACTCATATAACAGGACTGATAGCAAGACTATCTTTGTAAGATATACACCATATACTCGTAGTATACCATGAAAAGAAGGGGATTGAAAATGATTGAACAACATACATCTGCGCTCCAAAATAGTAGATTATCTGAGAAATAGTTGCTCGTTATAAGAATCGTACACAAATTCGTAGTTCGTGGCATTTTATTGATACGAGTGTAATACGTTTGATTGAGTTTCAAGATGTTTCAGTTATAATTATTGAACAATCGAAGCATGTACGTAGTGAGTATTATGTAATTCTTAAGCTGCTGTTGTTGGGTAGATACGCCAGGGCATTTCCAAATGATGTAGAATCGATACTGTTTCCTTTGAAAGTATATTTTCGGATCCTCCGACTCCAGCAGAGTGGCATATTGTGGATGAGCAAAGAAGACCAGATGCTGATGAAAAAACATTTATATTGCATAGATCACTTTCAAAGTAATTTCATTAGCCACTTACCAATCTGGAATGGCAAATTGAGGATGACTTCGATTTTATGTAATATTTCTAAACAATTTTGTGGATGTGGTGCCTAGGGCTGGAGCAGTACTTTTTCAGCTTTCTACTGGAGTTTCTTGAAGACGTGTTTAGCTTGCAGACCAGCCCACATGGCAATGAGAAGAGTGACCAAGTACATCAACAGAAGATTGTTAACGATTGAACCAATCCAAGCCATGGCCAGGAGGACCAAGCTTTTCACAATCACGAGGCCGGTCGATTTGCGTTCCTTGAATAGATACTGATACCATGCTGCCAAGCTTTCCTTGATGATGTACATCTGTCCGCAAACAGACTCGAATTTCGCGTCGTTGTCGAAATTCCAAAAAACGCCGGCAATTTTGGTTGAGAAAAAGTCCAAAATGAAATCCGGCGGATCCAGGCACCACAGAAGAAAATAGTGCGAAATGGTAGTCAGCAATGCCAGGAGAGACATAAGAGTTATCACCGATAGATCCATGTACCAGAGAACGAAATAAGCGACGCTTATGCCCCCCAATACCACCACGGGGTAGTATTTTTTCTCCCAGGTAAGGACACCATAGGCAGTCACTATAGGCGCTTGAAATCGCTCCAAATCATGCTTAAGCTTGATCACCATTTCGTTATTACCAATGTCCGATGCTGTCATCTCTGTGCTTCGTTGCGTATCGAGTTCAATTGGAGTTTTTAACATAGTCTCTGCCTTTAATTTAAGCAAAAAGTCGCTTTTTTTTTATTGCTAGCCAACGTCAATGCATCAAATGAGAGGTGGCAACGTCAAACCATCGAAGGTACTATCGATAGTTTCGATGTTTACCTGCAAGCCGGTTTCATCACTAGCCATACAGTATATAGAAGTGCCCGTTCATGCTAGAAAGCGTCACGCGATGGTTTACCAGTTCGAATACCCCAGAGACCTCGGCTCTGGCGTTCGGGTACTGACGCGTCATCATGAGAAAGCGCAGAGAGAACATCTTTGCATGTGTTAGAACACCGCAATATGCTTCGACAAAAATATGTGTTTGCATGCTTTTTTCGTGTGTGTGTCTAGTATTGCTGGCCGCTAGAACTGAAATTAAAGTTTGGTTCTTGTTTTGGGTCTTTTGATGAACTGACCTACTATTTGATTTGAATTACATTTTATTAATTTATAATTTATTAATAATTTATATTATATTAATTTATACAAATATAATAATAATATATCACAATAACTAATTTTTAACATTTATTTCCTTATTTTAAATTATAAAAATTATGTAAACGCCGTCGGTTCTTGACTTCTTTGTTTATTATAACTAAAATAATGATGTATCTAAATAAACGATATAAGAAAAAATATATCTATATACTAAAATAAATATGCATAAATATAAATGGAGGAGGTGTGCCTTTTCCATCCGAATGGAAAGTACCTGGCCACTGGATCGGCAGACGCCACCGCCAGAATCTGGGACTGCGACAAACGCACTCAAATGCGACTCTTCCGCGGCCACAAGGACCCCCCCAAGGCTACCTGGTCTCTGGTGGCCGAGATGACCTGATCAATGTCTGGGACACAACCACCGAGCGAATAACCTTCAGCCTGCCCCAAGTGCCCCGAGAAGAAGGTTTCGTCCACCCAAAGCACCAAAGCAAGTGAGCTGGCGCTAATCAGCACGATTCAGGCCTGTAAAAATGGAATTTTCCTTCAAAGTGGGTTCGTCGGTCGCGATGCCCTGATTGTCATCTGGACGATGAGTTCTCGGAAGGTAATAGCGTTAAGCCCGAAAGCAGCCGAGAAGAAGACTGGCGTTGTGAAGGCTCTTGAAACTTGTACTTTGAATACAGAGAAATGATGAGATTGGTAGGTCGTGTGTCAGTTAAATGAAGTTCTTAAACTAATCATGTTCCATTGGAAAATTCTATTGCACCTTCAGATGCAGAAATAGCTTCGAGGACCCAGGCGCTGAGGCTAGTCATCGATGGAAAGCACCGTGGATTCCATGAACATACATTCGATTCATTTATATAAACGTAAACATACACAGCCCAAACTTCAAACATTAAAACTAACCATTCGGATCCCACTCATTGTTTGAGCTGTAAGTTTCCACTGGTCAAAGCAAAGGCCTTCCCTGATTTTATGTGCAATATTGTTCTGTTTTTCAGAATATATATCAATGATTGCGGCACTCCCTGAGTGGCCCCAAAAGACTATTTAAAATACGGTAGACAAGTGCTGAAAGTACTTCGCGGTTGCATTCAACTGTTTTGTGGTCTGGCTTCCGGAACTCTCAATCCACTCCACAGCCCACGCGACTTCACAACAAATGGAGCTACAATTTATGGACCGGCACAAACCCTCTGAAAGACGAACCGAATGCATTAAGTAAAATTTCCATTTTGAAAAATTACTGATTACTGACTATCTTGCAGACATTGAATTTTGTGTGTGTTGGGACAATTGGAAATGGCATTATTTATGATCATCCATTGAGGTCACAGCTTACATAAATATGTAGAAACATGTGCATAATTGATTACAGATATGTATAAATGTAATACAATATGTGAGAATTGGGGACCGCAGCTGCTGGAATCTCAAAAAAGATGTCCAAGGAATGAATGTGTAATATTTCAATCTAAGCCATTAAATGATGTCCAGACACATTGTCTTTCTTTTCCCTTCCCACTTGGATCCAGGGAAGAGGATTCGAATTGGGATTGGGATTGTAAATATAAAATACAAATGTTCAATCTAAATTAAGCATAAACCATAGGAATAGGCCATAGGAAGGCCGATCAGGATGTCAGCCAGTCCTGATCAACAATCAGCTGATACCTGCCAATAGTTCCGATACATACGTATAGATTAGCTGTCTAAGAAATACAACTAACACCTAATCTATGCAATCAAATTAATATCAGTTAAGATAAGTTGCATTATCTATTGCTTATAACGACATTTGGGTATGACTACTACTACAAATTTCGTTGGCCCTTTAAACGTCGCCCCAAAGGAACAACTATTTCATCGAAGCCCACTGTTAATTTACATAAAAATGTTTACCAAATCCATGACAGAAAATACTCAATACTCATATAACAGGACTGATAGCAAGACTATCTTTGTAAGATATACACCATATACTCGTAGTATACCATGAAAAGAAGGGGATTGAAAATGATTGAACAACATACATCTGCGCTCCAAAATAGTAGATTATCTGAGAAATAGTTGCTCGTTATAAGAATCGTACACAAATTCGTAGTTCGTGGCATTTTATTGATACGAGTGTAATACGTTTGATTGAGTTTCAAGATGTTTCAGTTATAATTATTGAACAATCGAAGCATGTACGTAGTGAGTATTATGTAATTCTTAAGCTGCTGTTGTTGGGTAGATACGCCAGGGCATTTCCAAATGATGTAGAATCGATACTGTTTCCTTTGAAAGTATATTTTCGGATCCTCCGACTCCAGCAGAGTGGCATATTGTGGATGAGCAAAGAAGACCAGATGCTGATGAAAAAACATTTATATTGCATAGATCACTTTCAAAGTAATTTCATTAGCCACTTACCAATCTGGAATGGCGAATTGAGGATGTCTTCGATTTTTTGTAATATTTCTAAACAAATTTTGTGGATGTGGGGCCTAGGGGTGGAGCAGTACTTTTTCAGCTTTCTACTGGAGTTTCTTGAAGACGTGCTTAGCTTGCAGACCAGCCCACATGGCAATGAGAAGAGTGACCAAGTACATCAACAGAAGATTGTTAACGATTGAACCAATCCAAGCCATGGCCAGGAGGACCAAGCTTTTCACAATCACGAGGCCGGTCGATTTGCGTTCCTTGAATAGATACTGGTACCATGCTGCCAAGCTTTCCTTGATGATGTACATCTGTCCGCAAACAGACTCGAATTTCGCGTCGTTGTCGATATTCCAAAACAAGCCGGCCATTTTGGTTGAGAAAAAGTCCAAAATGAAATCCGGCGGATCCAGGCACCACAGAAGAAAATAGTGCGAAATGGTAGTCAGCAATGCCAGGAGAGACATAAGAGTTATCACCGATAGATCCATGTACCAGAGAACGAAATAAGCGACGCTTATGCCCCCCAATACCACCACGGGGTAGTATTTTTTCTCCCAGGTAAGGACACCATAGGCAGTCACTATAGGCGCTTGAAATCGCTCCAAATCATGCTTAAGCTTGATCACCATTTCGTTATTACCAATGTCCGATGCTGTCATCTCTGTGCTTCGTTGCGTATCGAGTTCAATTGAAGTTTTCAACATAGTCTCTGCCTTTAATTTAAGCAAAAAGTCGCTTTTTTTATTTCCAGCCAACGTCAATGCATCAAATGAGAGATGTCAATGTCAAACCATCGAAGTTTCGATCTAGTTTCTATCGATAGTTTCGATGTTTTACTGCAAGCCAGTTTCATCCATGGTTTCATATATTAATTTGTGCATTTATTTATTAACAACGATAATGATCCCGGAAATACGCTATGCTCCATCCCATTGTGCATTACGGTCCTGCCTACCAATAGTCTGTCCGAAATCTGTCTGGCCCTTGAAATCCAAAACAAATCGAAATCAGTTTCGGGCATCCCCAGTATGTTGGAGATCTTAAGAGCAGTCCTCACAATTGTAGTGGATGTCTTAGTCTTTAATTCATGAATATATCCTGTCTTAACAAAATCTAAATTAACGTTCATATATACATATATGTACATAGGATGTACTCAATTCAAAAACAAAGGTCAGAATGTCACTAATGTACTGGGAATCAGCCATCTGATGTGGTTCACTTGCATGAGCTCTTAATTAAATGTTTTCACACCCATTTGCTTGTGTTATTTGATGGGTTTCATTCGATGTATCATTTAGATTTATGTGACAAGCAGAAAGAAGAACTTCCTATTCTTATAAGTTCTTTATTGTGTTTTTTTTATTGGTTTGGAAAGGCTCCCACAGCCGAATACGTTCTGTGCGGTAACCAAGCTCGCTGCTGCAGATAGTGCTCATGCTCATAGTTCGCCTTGAGTCCGCAGTGAAAGATGGCATGATTGAACACACTAAATAGGACCTTGGCTAGAGCCAATCTGCACTCTTCAAAATCACCATTCCGATAGGGAACGCATAAGGGAGTCAGCAACAGGTAGTCAATAATCATTGCATGCCTCTCCGGATCATTGTCAACCGATATATGGACTACAAGGTTATCCCCCACAATCGCCACCGACTGGTCGTTGATTGCTATTGGCTATTGGGCTGTGGTGATATGAGACGCGCCTCCGTTTGCGACCCAGCCATTAAGGCTCCGTGGGTCTCAGGTCCAGTCTATAATCATCAGTGTCTTCCCCATACGACAACGACGAGAGGGTCCCCACCGACTGATCTACGAAATATATCCATCTATATATTATGAATAGAGGAAGCTTACCACGACGCCATTCTCGGCGTTGACCCATATTAGGATTTGTCGTATCCAAAGTCATATTGAAACACACTCATTTCACCATATCAAACGAAAACTCTCCAATACATTTTAGCACCAACAATATATTTTCTCTCACTGACCCCTTCATTAGTATTCAATGTATTGGTGACATTATTCCGATCACTGGTCTCTGCTGCAGCGGACGGACGCCACATTGTCGACTCAGTGACACAGCAGCGCTGTTATGGCTATGGCCCGCATCAGGACAGGCTGCATAGAAAATCGAATTTCTCTAGCTCTTATAGTCTCTGAGATGTAGGCGCTCAACGGTACGGAAAGACGGACACACAGACAGACATGGCTCAATGGACTCGGCTGTTGATGCTGATCAAGAATTTATATACTTTATAGGGTCGGAAATGCTTCCTACTGTGTGTTACACACATCCACTTTCACCACAAATCTAATCTATACTCATTTTGAGTTGACGCAGTTGTATAAAACATTTTATCAAATATTCCATATTTCATTCCCATTCCGAAAGCATTTTGGGTAGACGTGAGTGCCAATACTAATAGTATAACTACTAATAATACTCTGCAGTTGCACATTAGTCTGAAAAGTTGTTATGTTATCTATTTATTGTTGGCTTAAATATTAACAAATCGAGCTGAAATTTTGGGGGCTGGAATATTTTGTAATATTCTAAATCACAAAAATGCAATCCGACCAGAGCGATGCATATATAGGCTACATAGGAAATATAGGCCAAATATGGTACTTCTAGAGGAAGTCTACCATTTATACAGCTTATATAAGATTTCCGTTTTTTTGGAGGCCTAATTCGAGGAAGGTCCCTAAAGTGGAGTTGGTAGTCCCAAAAAAAAAATGAGAGAAAACTGAAATGAAAATTGCCAAGTCACATTATTTATCGTATACGCATCGCGAGGAGGCGGGACCGTTGCCATAACACACACACGCACACGGAACAAGACCGACGAGTAGACGTGAGGAGTGACTGGAGGTGGATGGTGGGTGGGTGAAATGGAGCTGCATTCATAATGGCGGTCCGTACAACAGTTCCTTCCGGTCGACGCTTCTGCTGTTGCTTCTATGGCCGCATGTCGCAGCGGAAGCCTGGCATTTACTGCAGGCGACAATACTTTGCTTTGCCCCCGCGGATCGACTGTTTCGAGTCGGTTCTCCCCAGCATCACGTCACTCTCTCTCTCCCTCTGTCTCTATCTCTCTATCTACTTCAAGCTTTCTCTTTCTGTATTGCTATAGCGGCTGTGAGGGTACATCCGTTTATTGTAGAGGTAGAAGATCTAGGAGACCCCAAAAGCAAGAGGGACCTAGGAACACCTTTGCTTATATCCTTAACGCTTGTACCAATAACAGGCAGATCGGTATAGAAAAGTGGACCGACAGTAGGTATCCCATAGTCGGCGCTAAATCATTCCATTCCCACTTGTTCACTAGTGTGTGTGCTTGTGCGTGTGTTGGCATCCTGTGTGCATCGCCTGCCTTGACTCGACTCGCGTCGAGTCGTGTCATTGTGAGCGGGCATAGCATAGCAATGTAGAAGCAATATCACGCTGGGCCAGAGAAAGTGTTACTCCCTATTTGTTTATAAAAAAAGTCCCAAAGGCACTACAAAGTAGGAGGCGACGATAGGACGATGGGACGATGGGTTGATGGACTGCGACAGGAACCGGCACGTCCGTCCAAAGCCAAAGATGGAAAGATGTGTATAGATGCCAAGGAAAATGAACAGTGGAGAAGACCAAACGCGGAAATTTCCATATTATCAGCCACATAGTAGCAGCAGTAGAGGCGAACCGCAAATTGAAGGCGATACCTGACAATGGGTTGGAAATTGAGCAAAATCTGAAAAGAAAGAAAACAAAGCATAAAAGATAGAATCTATTTTGAAAGGATACCCATTTCTTACCGTTATATTTATAGCATCCAAATTATAGGTAACCCATGCAAGGATGCTTGAATCTTTTGAATCAAAGTCCTCCTTCCTTCGACACCCTCAATTGTATTCCCAGCAAATGAGTCGTAGCAATCGCTCATACAAGCATATGAAAGAGTACTCTCATAAGCCCCTAAACTAGACAAAGAGAAATGTTAAACAACTGTCGTAATTGATGAACAAAAGCGCAGAGAAAATAATGGTTAGCTGGGGAATAAAAGCTTATGGTCCCTTTTTCGTGGTCGCGAACAACAAATTTAATTAAAAACATAAACTAAAAGCATAAACGAATGAATAATTCACATTATTATGATGTTGGAAAGTCCTTTCCATGCAACAGTCCGGCGTTCAACTTCTGCATTCCTGCACTACTTAACCGCACCACGAAAAACTCCGACCACAGTCAAAAACAAAACTAGACACGAATTTGCATTAGCAACAAAAAAAAGTTAAGACAAAAAGTAGAGTAAGGGAATTTGTTCTTTATTATTATTATTTTAGTTTATGTTTGTTTTGTTTTTTATGTTGGTGTGACTTTTATGCAAATGGGAAATTTGAAATTTCGTTGCACAGTTTGGGCGCGCATTTAAATTGGTGTGGATCAACCTCACCGGTCCGACCAACCCATACCCGGCACATACCCAACAACATGCCTTAAAGGCTTTGAAAGCAATTTGTCTACACACTTTTTTTTTGGTTTGCTTTCCAAAAAAAGATACCGAAAAAGAGTTCAATTTTTGAATATTTTGGTTGTACCTCATACAGAAAGAGGAGTACAAAGGAATTTTGAATTTTTGTAGGTACGCTAGATAGAATATTTGATTTTTAAACCATTTGAATTTTTTTTATATTATAATATTAGGTACTACCATTAAAAGTGCCCTCAACATAATATGTCTTAGATAGATCCAAGAATTCTCTTTTTTTTTAATTCTGCAGATATTGCAAAAACAAATATTTAAGATCTGTTTTTTAATCCTGTACACAGGTAAATACTAATTTATAGGAATTTCGTAAAATCACTGCAAAAAACAACAAAATAAATAACAATTTTAAAAAGCAAAGACTAAGGAACCCTTCATCAAGATTTGTGTGGCATATCCACGGAAGAGAAAAGACCTTCTTTATGTGTCAGGCCCAAGAGAGGGTATATCCATAGTCGGGACCCCCCCTTTGGGGAATTTTCAGTTCATATTTGTTCATTTTTTGGGAAACTTCCACATGACCATGCATGTATTTTGTTTTTTTTTTGGGGTTTTGGCGCGTGCGAATTTAATCAAAAGTCAAAAGAGCACACACGCTGCGTATCGGGGCTCTGAGCCAGGACATGCATCCTTCTTGCGCCCATGCGCCTTTTCATCTCTTTTTTTATTGTGTGGGCCTGACCCACATACCCTCGTACAAGCAAAGAGGATATATGCACACAATAGGAATAATAGTGCTTTTGCATTGCAGAAAGTACATTTTAAGTAATGATCGAAAGGTCCTTGAAGAGGCGATCAAAACTCACTGAGGATTCTCTCCGCCCCTCCACCCTCCGCATGGCTTGTAAACCCAAACCCAATTGGCGGTCGCCTGCTGCACCTGATGCAGATAATGCCTTTGTTGCTTCTGCCTCGGTGCGGTCTTACCTTTAGGCATCGAACCCGGACCTCGCCGTCCCATATTTTTAAATTTGGTGAAATCTGCGTGCTTTTTTGGGCACGCATTAATGTTTTTAACTTCAGGCTTGGTTTCTAAAATTAATAGTTTAAAATTAATCCGGGAATGGTGTATTCTCTTTTACTCACATTATGTTTGTTTCGTTGTTGTGTCTGAATTATCTATATTTGATTGAAATCGCAGTCCATCAAGGATAAATCCAGTCAAAGCTGCATACGTCTTTGGACCAGATCAAAATGGTACACCTGAAGGGGAGTTGGATGTATTTTAAGATCAATCAAGTATCTTATGGAAGATAAACAATAAGAACATATGCACATATGTATGTATAAGTAGTGGCTCCGTATGTACCGGTTCTGCAGGTAGGCCAGCATCATCCCATCCACTGTGCCACAGCAATTCTTGTTCCTTCAATCGCATCGTCCTGCCTCTTGCGAATCTCATTTCGGAATGACTGGATATCACGCCATCTGTAAATTCAGGAAATTTCTAAAATTATGAATAATCCAAATAATTTAACCGAAGGACCGATGACAGTTCTGCAACACTACTAATATAACAACGTGGATAAAGCTTTTTAAAACGTTTGACTTGCGATCCCTAACTCCGATATTCATCCAATATTAACTTATCTAAAACCCAACCATAGCAGTTCTTCGTATTGGAAGTCAATCATTAAGACCTTTTATAATCAAAAATAAAGGGTTTCCTTTCCCTGGCATTTTGACCTCAATTTGACAGTTCGCATAGATCTAATAAATCACAATCATTGGATATACCCATGGCGAGGTAAGTGTCATCGATATGGCCTTAGATGTATCATGTATTGGTTATTTGTTTCTGTAATGAAATTTCGAATCGATTTGTATTGTAGCTCAGTTACTGGATGATCCGCTTTCCGGACGCCATTTATAATGTGAATGACCGGCCTGGTCCAGTAGTAGCGACCACAGGGGGAGAGGGCAAGGACATGAAGCGGCTCTAGAACGCTTTCGGTTTAAAAAAAAAAAGATGTAAATTTGTTTCTTTTAAATATTTATGCTTACAATCATGTCTTCTTAGTTATTTTTTAACAGAATATGTGCCAATGGACAAAATGGGAAAATACAAATATCGTGGATCAGCCGAAGCCAGTTTATTCATCTTTGAGAAGCGGAGATGGTATACGCATTTTGAAGACCCACGATACGATATCCGTACCATTCAAAAATACGAATTTAAAAGGTAAAACCAAATAGTTGAAAATACATATTTTAAACGAGGGGGAAAGGTGTGAGTCGCAGCTACGGCCGCGACACTACATTTATACCCGACACTCAGTCAGTCTGGCTCTCCTCCGACAGAGGGTGCACACATTGCACGACAAAGAGTGTGTGAGAGAGAGAGAGAGAGACAGAAAAGGAGTAAGCCCGTGGAAGGCGTTGCGTAGCCCCTGGTAATAGATTTTTTCCTTCGATCTGATCCAGATTCGGCAATGTGCTAGATATGGTCGTTCTCTATGATTCTGGTTGCTCTAGCTCTTCTAGTTTCTGAGAACTAGGCGTAAAATAAGACCGACATGGCTTTATCGACTCAGCTAATGATGCTAATGAAGAATCTGTATTCTTTAAGGGGTCAGAAACGCTTCCTTTGGGTGTAACACACACATACGAAGTCCAGTCTAACTAAATTCATACATTATTTGTTATTCTTTTTATATTGTAAATGTTCGATATAAACCTAAATTAAAATTTGTAACTGCCCCCAAGATTAGACCATGGTATCCACAAGCAATTTTTTCGTCGATGAAAGATGATCCCACCCTCTATTGCACTTCATAGCCTCGCAACATTAATAATATAAACGAATATCTTCCTTTTCTTTATACATGTGTGAATGCGCCAAGAAATACAATGAATTTATAAAAGAATTCTCCGCCTCCCATGCAAACTCTCAAGAACTTGTATTCAGCATTAATTGGAACTGGCTTTGTTGTCGATTCTTACATACATATTTCTCGCCACTGAATCACGAGCGGCATACGAGTTCCAATGTGCAAAAATGTTTGTTTGTCTCTGGCAATTTAATCCGGCGTTCAACGTGAATTCGAGCGATGAATCGAAGCTCACTTTTCGAGAGGTGTGCCTTGCACTTCCCAGGTGGGTGACTCTCAATCTGAAAGTCACATAATACTAACTTATCGGTTACCTGTAAGTCCAATGAAACTTGAGTAAAGGTCAGAAAAACCAACTTGAACTTGGGGCAAATATTTGTGATCTGAAATCTGTATTCAAGATGGGGTAGATAAGCGATAGGCTGTTGATTCTAAATTTATTCGAGTGTAAGTATAACAGATTGGTAGTGGTTTCATAGATAGTTTAGAGCAAGAATTAAAGCCTCAAGAAAAATCTATTGATCTTCAGATAGAAGTGAAAATTCGAACCTTCTAGGAGGGTATTGATTTAAAAGCGTTCTACGGATCGGTCTACACATTTTCTAGACTACATAACTATACAGTATTATCACGTACATTAGGAATCCCAAACCCTTGTATTCCGCAACCCTTCCCACTGTCCAAGACACGCTCTTTGCACTGAATGTATGTATATAAATACGTGCATATAGTACATACATATATACGAGAACGATTCAACCGATTTTCTGTCTCTGTCTTTCTTGAGAAAAGTTGCGTATTGAATGAGAAATGGGAATTTGCAAATTGATGTTGACGTATTCGATGGAAAGAGGGAGAGGGTACGGGAGGGCAGTGCTTTTAAGCTTCGTTTTGCAACCGCAAGAACAGCAACAAAACATGCATGAGACCCTACCTAGCCAAAAAGCATTCGACCATTGAAATGCCCCCTAAATGTGTGAAAATTCATAAACCCCTAGAAACAGATTCTGTTGGAAAAAGTTCTTTGTTACTGGAGACCAAATGAGTCTGAAACCATGCGTGCCACAATTGGAAAAATGGATCCCCCTTGGTGCTATCCGCCTTGAAGCATGACTCTTCCAAAGTTCAACTTGGAAAAATGCCAAGCCATTGCCACTGTTTGATATGAGTAAATTATACATATTTATCCTCAGTGAAAGCAGTCCCTGATTTCTTTTCATCTATCAGACTTAGAGTACAGCCTTTATGGGGATGGCCTTCAGATTGATCTTATAAATTTCCAAAATATATTCAAAAAGTACCAATTGTATTCTAAAATCACTATGTAATTAAAAACTTGAAAGAGTATTCCGTCTCTGGCTGTTGTGACTGTCTGTCCCACAGACAGTTATTGAATCTCTATCATTGTGTTGCTGCATCGCACATATGTATACTATATGTATACTTATGTATGTACTAAAATCTAGCTCATGCTGTAGCTAAATCTAGACATCTCGTCTGGTATCCCCCATGCTGCCCCGCAAACTGCAGGCGGGGTATTATGACAACCTGCCCTGACCGCAGGCACGAGCGCAAAAAGAGTAATACTCGTGGAAACCAGAGAGAATGCTATTGTCCAGCGCTCGAACAATACAATACCCGCTACTCAGTGGATGCCTAGGGGCAAACAAAAAAAACCCCACTCTGCGAGAGAGAGAGAGAGCTTTGTCTCCGCAAGGCAATAAGATCATATTTTCTCTTAATTAATTGTTATAAATCGGTGTTGAGATATGTATGTGGATTTCACAGTGGTAATTTCTTGCCACCAACAACATAGCCTCCTGTACAATATAGCCTCCTGGCATTCGAGCAGGAAACTTAAATACAATTGAACGGTTCTGTTTGATTGGGATACATTTACACGAATTCCATATACCCTTTGTTGCTGTACGAGCAGACCGGGGTATAAAGAGCTCAACTAATTAGCGCAAGTGACTTTTGGACGTCGTCGCCGTCGTCGCCGTCGCCGTCGCCGTAGTCGTTGTCGTTGTTGCTCCACTGGTCGTAGTCTCCGTTGGCGTCGTCTCTGCTGCCGTCAATTGAACCGCACCGTAGCGAAAAAACGTTGCTTGTAAAAATATTTACCATATACAAAGTAATAATAATAATAAAAAACAATTAGCACATTTTTGTGGCACACATAAAGTGTGCAAAGTGCGGCCCCGATTCACGGATACCGGTTCACAGATTCGCTTTTTTCTGTGGGGGGGGGGATGTGGTTAGGCGGTATTCCTCCGCTCCAGAGACAAAAGTAGATCGAGAGTGTAACTAAACATAGTACAAGTCTCCATCTTTATCTCTCACACGCACACGCACACACACACACACACACACAAACTCCCATACGCGTGTGTGTGTGTGTCTTTAATCTTTTTGAATTGAAAGAAATCTGAACGCGACTTTCTGGCTCTGGAAATTCAGAGGGTTTTTTTTTGTGCCGGCGTCAATTTTAGTTCGAAGACGAACGGCAAACGTGTGAGACATCAAAAGCGATAACATTTTTCCAATCCCACGTATTGGAAAAAGCACGTTGAAATAATATATCATATATTTATAAATATTTATATTTTTTTGTTGTGCGGAAAAGTGTAAAGGAAGCGATAAGTACATACATATGCATGTACATATGCATGCACATACATGTATAAGAAATTAGAGAGAGATTATAATGGAAGGCGGCCTCAGTAAATAAAATTGCAACAAAGAGACAAGTGTCTCTGGCTCCCGCTCGCTTGCCGCTCTCTGTCAGACCCTCTCTATCGCTCTCTGTGAAGGGCATTCCACAAATATTTCGTTTTGTTTTTGATAAGCATTCAGCCGCCTGATAAGCTTTGATAACAGTTAAACGGCAAAGCTTCGCGCGCGCTCTTTCTCTCTCCATCACCACCTGCTCTCACGCGCTATTTTGCTCTCCCGTACCTGCGGGATAGGCAGGAACACGCACAGTCCCCGAACAGCTGTTGGAACGAGTGTCATTCAATGAGCAGCCGGTGGGAGCAACAACAAGAAAACAAAAATAAAAAGCGACTCGAAAAAAGTGCAACAAAAAGAAGCTGGTAATATTCAAAATAAAAGCTAAACAGAAAACCATGGGCCGTGATCGACTACCGGAGCTTTTGCAGGTAATAATAAACGATGGTGGTGAATGAGGTAACAGCTAATTAGTTGCAGGCACCGTGGGCCCCATAAGCCACTTTGTAAACATCAAACATCGGTTTAAAAAGCACTACACCGCAAATCAGAATACTTCTTTGATTAAGAATTACTGCTTGCTTTTCGGTTCCAAATTTACCAAACAGAAACTATGCTGTTCTTATATACATCACATCACTAAAATAATTCAAGAATTCTACAAGGGTTATATTAAAAAAAATAAACAAGGAATAACCATTATCATATGAATTCACAGAACATAAAAATTTGTTTTGCTTTTCAACGTTATCTCTATTTAAAGTCTGTCTTTCATTTGATAATAATTAACATTCTCATTTTCGTAAAACATTAAATTAAAAATAAAAGAAAATACATCGGACTACATACGAATGCTATTCAGTACCAAGAATTGGTTGATGAGACTTGCATCCTCTTCTCTGGAAAAGTTGTGGTTTGTTTTTATGCGCACTCTTTCCACTGTGACCGATCGCTCATCTTTTTTTCTCCACCACTATTTCTCGCACTCTCTTTGTGCCTTGAGGAGGCCCCCCGATGGTATGGAGGGTGGGGTGTTAAATATTTATCAGATTCCCCATAGATAACAGCGATAAAGTAGCCCCATACGGCACATCGCACTTGCCCGATGCCGTACCCCATACCTCCCCCACTGTCCCACACTTTTGGCACTAAGTGAGTTTCAGTTTTGAAGTCATTTTTATTGTACTTTTACACGGCGCCAGGTTGGGCAAGAGAAACAAAAAAAACAAACGGAAACAGTAGCAGAAGTCGTAAAAATCAATAATAAAATTGTCTTATTCTCACAGTTGTGAAGAGCGTTTCTTAGAGATCACATTTCAGTTATTCTTGTTCTCCCTTCTTTTCCGGCAGCGCTCGCTGAGCTCTCAATCGAGCTCCTCGTCTAACGGTTCACTCCTACTCAACGTGTACAGTGGGACAACAGAGTACAGCAACAGTAACAGCGACAGCGCAAACAGTTATAGCATCAATAGCACCACCACCACCAGCAACAACAACAACAATAACAGCAGCGAGAGCAAGGATCGAGGGAGCAAGGACCGAGGGAGCACGAAAATGGCGCAATATGGAGCCAATGTAGACGACATTCTTAATCCGGTAAGTAGAGAGCACAAGCTCTATCCCGAACGTATGCGCTCTCTCTCTATCTCTGTCTCCAAGCCATCCTTTTCTCAAGAAATACTAACAATTAACTTGCTATAACTAAAGCGTCCTCTTTCTCTCACTCTTTCCCTTTGACACACTCCACTCTATATCTCTCTTTAGCCCTTTATTTTTTGGAGCCTTCTTTATTCGTATGAATCAGTTTTGTATTACTCAATCGACGCGTGAACTCGTGATAAGCAAAAAAAAATACATACATATATGTTGTATATATGTATGTACATATGTACCTTTTTTGCCATACATTTTGCTATTTTTTATGAACACGACCGACACCGCCACACCCACTCACTTATCACCCACGAGGTTCCGGCGGTGTATTGCTCCCAATCCCATGTAAACAAAGATTTTTGCACTTGGTAACCAACAAGCGACAGAGAATTGTGAATTTTGCAAAAAGCAGTAAAAGAAAGAGAGGCTGTAAATATTTGCAGCTCAAAAGTATGCCCGAATACACCAGGTATATTATGTACAGGGTGAATCCATGACCATTCCCATGCAACGCTCTTACAATGCTCATACATACATATATAGGTTTATACCAAGGTTCGGCCAACCTTTTTAGACGAAACCAACAGGCACAATTTAACAAACTTCCCAGGTTTTAAAGAGCTACTTACATTTTTGTTTCAATATTATGATATTTGATTAGGATTATATACATGTACATACATATACATTTTTGATTTTACATATAAAATAATATAACATCGAAAGAGCCGTAGGTGCCCGACCTTTGCCTTAGACATATCCAAAAAAGTACTAAAAATACTAGTAAAACTAAAACAACCTACAACTAATTATAATTAATTTATGAACGATATATATATAGCGAAGAAAATGATATGAGTTAAGAGTTCACCAAGCATAAGGAAGATTCGAATTATTGTGTGTCCACATTGCATCCACAGCTATGAAAAGAAAACAATTGAAAAACATTTCAAAGATTCCATTCGTGCGCCTTGCCTCTTCGTTTAAACGTTGTGCGTCCTTTTCTGAGCGCACTCATTTACTCAAACCCTATCGGGTGTCAATTGAGGGGTTAATTCAAAAACATCTAATAAATATTTATAAAATACCCAACTTCTCTTTGCAGTACTCGCAGATTCGGTTGCAGCTCTCACAGATTGCCGCCAATCTGGAGGCCATGAACCGCATGACTCAAACCATCAATCTGCGCACATTTAATGGTAAATATCAGTTTAACACTTTTTGAGTCGATATTGATTTGGTTCGCGTTCCCTTCCAGAAAACGAGATGGATGATCTGCACAATAAAAACTTGCGCCTTGGTAATCAGTTGATGAGCCGCTTCAGGGATTTCAAGACCAACCTGCCGCCAGAGAACGACTATAGCCTGGAAGCGAGAATGAAACGAACCCTTTTCTATGGCCTATATCAGACGTACATCAATTTGTGGCAGAAGAACGAGCTCTTTCTACAAAACTATGAGCTGAAAATAAAAAAGAACCTGCGCCTGCACACAAAAATCAGTAAGTAAGAGGACGAAAAGCAGATTGAACCAATGTGGAGGTAATCTCTTGTTTGTTTTTTATTTTAGTCAATTCGGAGGCCAGCGAGCAGGAAATCGAGCTGCTCATGGAGAACAAGACCACCAAACTCTTCGTGGACAATGTGAGTACAGTGGAGCCCCAGCTGAAGTGACAACCTGATGCATATTTTTCGATTCAATACAGTTCCTGCAAGAAACAGAAAAAGAGAGGCAGACCCTTCGTGATCTCATGGATCGATTCAACGAGCTGCGTAAGCTAGAGAAGTCCATTGAGGATGTACACGCCCTGTTTATGCGCATCCAAACGCTGGTGATGGAGCAGAGTGAAACGATACAGCGCGTGGAGTTCCATGCCCAACAGGCTACTCTATATGTGGACAAGGGTGCCGTGGAGCTCGATCAGGCCGAGAAGCACCAGAAGAAGGCGCGGAAGGTGAGGTGAACTAACAATTACAGTTGCTGGCCTGAAACGGTACTCACCTCGCCACTCTCGTTTCTTGTTGTTTGTTGCAGAAAAAGATAATGCTCATTACTATACTCGTTGCTGTGCTGCTAGTATTACTATTTGTTGGTATTTATTTGTAAGAGGCCACATCAAAATAATGAACTTTTTTCACTACGTTTAAGATTTAAGCTTAGAAAATACAACTAAAATAATCAAATCAAAACAAAAACCACAATATGGCGATGTTGAAATATCATAACGGGAGATGTGTGTGTGTGCGTGTGTCGGTTTGCCACATTGCATTCTGCTGTGGCAACGCCAACTCTCGAGAACATTCTACGAGGGCAAATATCGCAAAAAACTAATAGTTTTAAACAAGAAAAATAAACAGCACACACACAGAAAAGTATTGCTTGCATTTCCCGCGGTTAAACTTAGCGATAAATGGCGATTATGGCGAGATTATGGAAGTGTGCCGCCGTAAAATAGCCATCGCCTAGGTCCCGATTCCCAGCCACATTTTGCACAAAAATATATAAGAAATACACTTAATTTCACTCATGACATAAGCAAAAAAACAAAAAGGACTCCAATCAGAGGTAGCGCGATCGGCGAATGTGTTTTTTCCACTTAATTTCGCAAGGAAAAGAGAAAGGTATAAGTAAACCACAAATTTGCTTTCAAAAGCAAATAATTCCCCAAAAACACTTGCCATTGGGATTACCTTGTCTGTTGTTTAATTGTCGCGCCAGTCTGCCGAACAGAGTTGCTATCGCGCCTAACAGAACTCTGTTGATTGTTGAACATTACAGCTCGAGCGCATTACAGCACATTTGTAGCGCCCAAGCGCACGGCTTTTGTTTTGGAACAGTGTGCTGTTAAGCGACATCAACATCCCTAGCGTCTAGAACTATTTTTTTTTTATAGTGAACCATCCGAATTTGCATGTCTGCTATTTAGGTAAGTGGAGCGACAACAACACCAGACGGCAGCTAAAACAACCAGCAATTCATTGAGCTAATGGAAGTGGCCAGCAGGGCGGTGACGATAGCCAAACATTCGCTTAATTCCCCTCTCGCCAAGCGCCATTTTTTGCTTTTCATGCAAAATCTGACCAGATAGACAACGCAATATCCGTGTGGTTCGTCTAATTGCAGGCAACGATTCCATTCCGGTGGTGGCCCATGCGAGTGGCATAAAATGGAAGAAATGTGTAAGAATGTGAAATCCGCCTCCCTTGGATCAGTAGCTGGTGCTGGAGGAGTAGCAGCAGTTGCAAATGTTGCTCCCGTTGCTTCCCATGAGACTGACGTCTTCACTGCCCCCGCCCTTGTGCATCAGCACAATGGCAAGGGAGTGCACTTCAAGCTGGCGCCGCCCACAGTCCCAGCCACGGCCGCCGAGCCTGTGGAGGAGCTACTCGGGTCTGTCATCACACACAATTGCCCCGGGACGCGTGCCAGTGCCCGGGTGATACAGAAAATGAAGCAAGACCAGACCCGCCCAATGACGCCGCCGCCCCCTGAAAAGGAGCACACCAAGAAGGAGGAGAAGCCCACCCAGAAGACACCATCCCAGATAAGGACAGGCAATGGTCGGACGTCCTGGACGAATGTCGAACGGAATTGCTTCTTTGATGCGTTGAACGAGTTTGGCAAGGACTTTGAGGCGGTGGCCAACTGCATCAATGCGAAGCTAAAGCGCCGCAATGCCAACAGCGAATACAGCTTCAAGACTAAGGATCAAGTGCGCCAGCACTACTATCAGACCTATCACAAAATCTGCAAATATGTGAGGTACTCGGATGGTAAGACGAAAAGCCTGAATATCAATCTTTAGCCTTTTGGTAACGCATCCATTACTTTCTCTCTCTGTAGAGCTGAAGAAGCTCGCCCAGGAACTGTATACACTGATCAACTATGGCGAAATGCGTCGCAAGCTACAGTTCCTCACCGAGAAGCATTTCATGAAGCTGAAGCCGCTCATCTACCAGGGCCAGATCACCATCCGCTGCAAGGGCAAGAACATACGCATTAAGACGCCCTCCTGCAAGGCTCTGCGTCGTCTCAATCAGCTCGATGGCAAGTCTCAATACATTACTGAACCTCTTTCTACAGCCAAAAACTCATTTGTGCATCTCTACTTTAGACTCGCTGGAAGACATACGCCTGCCCAGCAAGGTGGAGGTGCTGCTGAGTCCAGCCAACATGGAGACCTTTGGCCGGGTCCAATCGTTGGCTCAGAATCCCAGAGGTCGCATCATTGTGCCGCTGCACAAGAAGCTTCTGAGTTTCATCAAGATATTTGAGTACAAATGGCGCAGTGCCACCCAGCGACTGAACGAGCAGAAGTCTTCTCTGTATCCCAACATCTCGGCCACTGCCAGCAACACCACCACCGCCGCCAGCACCCCCACACCCAGCACCAACAACGAACCAGAGCAACCGCAGCAGCAGCCACCGACGACACCCGTGGAGCCATCGCTATGCTTCCAGCCCAAGCCGGGTGTGGCCATCCATCGGCCCTTGCTGAATATCACTGCCCACCTGAACAGCATTGACATCTGCCTGACCGCCTACGAGGAGCGTATCGGCGTTAAAGTGCGCAGCGAGACCCTGGGCAATAGTGCGGCGGTGGCGGTGGCCGCGAGCAAGCGACCACGCACCGAGAGCGGATCAGAGAAGCGTTCACCGGAGGCCAAGAAACCTAAGACCGGAGCCAATCCAGTTCTTGAGAAGTCCCTGGACGAGGCGGTTGTGGCCCCCGAGAACAACAATGTGAAGCTGGAAACTGTAAAGCTGGAAGATGTGAAAATGGATGTTGTGAAGCTGGAGGTGTGCAGCGGCGATGAGCTGGTCGAGGACACGAAGGAGTTCCTTCCTTCCGGTGAAGCGGCAATCATCACCTCAGCTGTGGCTTCAGCACCACCGCCACCACCAACATCAATACTGCTGCCGCAGCCGCCAGCTACAGTGCCAGCTTCAGCACCGGCTCTGCCAGTACCAGCGCCTGTGGCAGTGGCAGTGCCTACACCGCCAGTGGCTCGCTCCAAGCGCAAGGAGGCAAAAGAGGCGGCTGCAGCCGCTGCTGCCCGAAACTTTAAGCCGCTGCTGAGCGATAACATTATCAAACGGATGCGCCGAGGCTGGACCGTGTCGAATGCGGCGGATATAACCATTGGGGATTTGTATGTGGTGCTGGGACAGGATTCCAAGGTGGAGCTGGAGTATTACTGGTGCGAGACAGAGATAGTGTCCCACTCGCACTCCTCCGCTGTGCCGGCGACCACGAGCACATCAGCCACATCGGCCACTTCGCTTCCATACAATACCAATGACTGTGATAGCGTGGAACGCGTCAAGGCCGTGACCACATCGACGGTAAGCAATAAGCTGAAGCATCTCCTGCTCGTGGCCAATCTCAGTGAGCGTGTGCGCAAGCGTCAGTGCAACTGTGGCCATACCTGCGATCGCAAGCGAGACCTGATGAACAAGGCCCAGCAATTGGCGGGAGCCAACGAAGCTGCCGCCGCCGGCGAGGGCACTTTCCGTACGCCCATGCTGCCGGTCCGACGTCCCATAGCCAATTTCGTTGATCCAGTGCGTCAGCTATCGGCGGTGAGTGTTTTTTTCTGCACCAACAACCCCAACCCCAGGCCAAGCTTACACTCTATTTCCCTTTCACACGCAGCTCACGCGCCAGAAGCTCAACCGACAGGTTCTGGTGCATCGACGGCTCCTCCTGCCCGGCTCAGGGGCTGGCGGACCCGGTCGTCCCTACGACCAGCTGAGTGTGCGTCAGCTGCACAACGGACTCTTCGAGCCGATTGAGCGTGCTGGGCTTACGACTGGCATCCCCATGTCATCCAGATTCAGCGGGGAGGAGCAGCATCATCAGCACACTGAGACAGACTCCATTCAGGCCATGGATGCTGGAGCCAGCCGCGGACCAGCGAGAGATATGCCAAATTTGGATATTGTTCCGCCATCAGCAATGGCAGACACGCTGCCAGAGGCAGCTCAAGATGAGAGCACAAGTGAGTGGCAGGTTCCCAAAGGCGCTGTGGGTGTTCCCCAGATCTTCAAGAATTAAATGTAACTTCCTTGGCAGCACAAAACTTCTTTCGTGGCAGCATGAGTCCGATGCATTTGCTGCGGGATTCCACCTCGAATGCGCGCTGGCTGGAGGAAAACATCAATGACTTCTCGCTGACCTCATTGCTTGGACATTTAGATGAGATAGATGCCACCAGGGACATAATAGTGAGGCTGAACAAACCCTTCAAAAGAACCTTCTATATTTATGAATTCTTTAATTTTAATTGTGCCAGGACCCCTCCTCCAGCATGTCCGTGATCAGCGAGAGCAGCGTGGACTTTCGTCACAAGTTCCAGGAGATTGCCGCACTGCTGCAGCAGCAGGAGAAGGATTAGCAGCGGCCGCAGAAGTACCCGAGTGTGCCTGCAACTTTTTTCCATTTACGCATAAAACGAAAATAATTTTTTTTTTTATGAATACTGATATTATTATTCCTTCGCTTCATATTTTATGAATTAACATTAATGGGTTTATTTTTTTTTTGTAACGATACTTTTTGTGATGATATATCGTATATGTATATATTTGTATGGATACATGTTTATAATTACTTATGTGTACTCGTACAATATCTATTCTCATTTTATTTCTGCCAAGTATTACACGCAAGCACTCACATTGTTCTGTAACATTTATATTTTATTTATTTTATTACATAACATTAACCGTATGTATCGAACGACGAACTACACAACAAAAGAGTAAAACAACAACATTCATATTTTGTAACTTATCCCAAAAAGTAATTCATATTCACGGACTGGTCCTCCCCCATTCCCCATCCGTATTGAGATTCGCGCGCCATTCATATAACCTCGAGAGTGTACAAGTCCATTAATGCTTGTCTTGCCTTCCGTAGCGACCTCTCCTACCTCTCCCTCTTGTTAAGGCTAGACACACACACACATATAACTATATATTGGGCAAGAAATGGATAACCGGAGTCGTTGATTTGACCTCTGTAACTCTTTACGTATGAAAATTGTTATAAAAATGGCAAATAGCTAAAATAAAGAAACAAAATCCAAACTCAAATACTCTACAAGACCTCTGCTAGCTTGTACTTACTGGTATCTAGGACAGAAATCATATACCTATCTAGTGGGACACCGGCTCTACGCAAACAAATTGCCTCCTTCTTTTCTTATCGAAATAATTACAGTTCTTGGCCACGAGTAAGGAACTAAGTGTTATAGATGTACATACCTAGTCATAACAAATAACACAGGGCTACCCGAAGGAAAACTTTTGAATGCACTTAACAGGACACAATTATTGGGTCGTAGGCCTAGTGGGGTATAATAATCTAGGAAATTACGCTTTCGAAGATATTAAATCTTGAATAAATACCTAAAAAAAAAAAAACAAAAGAAAATTCACAAATTGAAATTTTATATACCAAGGACGGAAACACCCTCCACTGGGAAGTGCTCACCATAGCATTCATTGGTAGATACCACTGCAGCGCCTGTGCTCATTTTAGAGGTGGAGAATCCCAACATCCCAGACGAAGCTCCCTGTTTTTTTTTTTTTTTTATTGGGGAGAACGAGCCTTCACCAAACGCAGCGATTCGGCTGCCTCCCGTTCAGCCGGAGAGCCAGGCGAACTGCAAAGTATCCTAGAAAAACACACATGTACATCGTCTATGTAAAGTCGATGCAGAACTAACAAACTTGAAGAAAAACTAGAGAGTTATAGCTCTGAATTGAAGTATGAAAGAGATCCATTAGGCCCCCAACATCATCCTAATGTAACATCATCTTTCCTTAGTTCAAAATAGTGTAACCCACAAATACCCCGACTGGGACTACCCCGACTACACTGGGAGGTCATTGGCACTGATCTCTGAATCTCTGAATCTCAAATATACGGCATTACTGCAAAAGGTAACTTATTTCCATATGTAACAGTACATTCGTAATAGGGACACGGAAAGGGATCTAAGGGTTCGTTAGTGGGTGATGAGAAATGTTGTAAATATGATAAATTATAACGAGGTTAAGCTGCCACTATGGGTAGCAGAAAACCTGTTAACAAAATATAACAAGAAATTTGTAATACAAGCCTTTCTCAATTTTGATCGGACTTGTCATGAGAGATGAAAAGAACAAAGAAAGAAAGAGGGGAACGACGACCGCTTGATATGCTTTACTATTGGTTCTTGAACATCGTTTATCTACTTTCCACATAAAGATCAAAAGATGATTCAAATTTTAGAATACATATATATGTATGCCGCTCTCTCCCCAGCCATTATATCACGCTTCCCTCCGCCAGAGAGCGCACACGGCACGAGAAAGAGTGCGTGAGAGAGAGAGAGGGAATGAGTAAGCTCGTGGAAGGGGTTTGGGTAGCCACTGCAATTTCAGTTGTTCCTTTAGGAACGATCTGATCCAGATTTCCGGAATATGATTCAAAATTGTGAATGCCCCAGAAATTTTCATCTGACAGACAGGCACGACTTTATCGACCCGGCTATTGATGCTGATCAAGACAACATGTAGTTTATGGGGTCGGAAAGCTTCCTTCAGGGTGTTATATACATATTCTTCCACCACAAAACTAATATATGTACTCCTATACTCTTTGAGTACCGGGTATATGAAGAGGTAGATACGGCGCAGCTCTAACCGATCGTTTTCTAGAAAGTTTAGGTAGTCATTGGGAAACGCTGGGATCATGGTTCAGTTCTGAGTATAAACAGCTTTTGATAAAGAGGGAGTCCTCTTCGGAGGTGCGACCAGTTAACACCTGGTCCTTGGTGGTACGCATCAAGGCAGCTGGAGTGACCACAAAGGAATTGATCCAGAAAGTCGCGAAGAAGGTGGGAACGTTCTTGGGTTTTTGAATTTATACAAAGCATTTTAGGGGCCTATCGCAGATTTTAAAGATGGTTCCGGCCAAAAAAACTTAATCATTATCTCGTGTAACGTAACGTAAAAATAATTAACAAATTAACATGAATAAACGCATTTAGTTCTCCTCGTCGTACTCCAGAGACGACTCCTCCATGGCCGCTGTTTTCTTCGACTTCATGTGGACATTGAGGGATATCTGTCGCTTGAAGGTTTTGCCACAATCGAGACACTTGAAGGGACGCTCGTTGGAATGGACCAGCATGTGGCGTGTCAGATCGGAGCTGTTGGCAAAGCTGCGCTTGTGACAGACCTGGCACTCGTGCGGCTTCTCCTGGCTGTGGCATCGCTTGTGGGCAATGAGGTTGCTCGAGTAGCGGAAGGAGCGATGGCAGATGTCGCAGGTGTGCGGCTTCTCGCCGGTGTGAGTCAGCATGTGCTTCTTGTAGCCGGACTTCTGGGTGAGCCGCTTGCCGCATAGGGTGCACTGGTATGGCTTGACCCCTTTGTGGGCGAGCATGTGGGTGCGCAGCGACGAGGCCTGTCGATAGAACTTACCGCATATGTTACACGTATTGGGATTATTTGGATCGTGAGTCGTTATGTGCCCATCAAAGGCGTTGCGTGTCTTGAATGACTCCCCGCAAATCGTGCACTCGAAGGGCTTGGCATCGCCATGCAGTTGCATGTGGTACTTGAACGAGTTGGATGTGCTCAGCTGCTTGTTGCAGATCTGCAGCCAGATTAAAAATCAGTCAAATCGAATACAAATTGTTTTCTGTTTTTTCAAGCTCTCACCTTACACTGCAGCAGATCGGAGATTGGCTTTGGTCTTCTGGTTCGGGCAGCGGTTGCTGCTGGCTGCTGCTCTTCCTCACTGGTGTCCTCCTGAGCCAGCTCCTCTACTTCCTCTTCCTTCTCCTCCTCCCGCTGCTGCTGCTCCTGCACTTCGACAACCTCGTATAGATCTTCTGGAATGTGGCTTGCCATGTGCATATCATCTTCAGGCATTTCCTCAATAATGTCGCAACCCACTAGCACGTTGCTCTCTTCCTGTTCCTCCTCGACTATTTCCAGATCATTATTGAGCTCTGCTGCGTGCTGTTCATTCAGTTTCACCCCATTTATTGGCAGGCTGGCACAGCGCTTTTCATGACGTTCCCTTAGGAACTGATCTATGTTGCGGGCCTTCTGCTTGAACTCCATGACCTGCTCGAGATTCGTTGCGCAGCTGCCGCATATGTGGTCTGGCATAAAGTCCTCCTCCTCGAGCACATCCACGCTAACGCAGTAGCTAAGGACCCTGGCCAGCGTTGTGATTTGGCCACATATCCTGTTTGGCTTGAATAGAGAGAAGCTGTTCGGGGAGGGGACATAGCAGACACGACATGTGCGCGCAACGCGAGTGCCGGATCGGAATACCACATTCGATGACATTTTTTGACTTATTTCACCTTTTGTGCACAAGATTTGTTTATATTTTCTTTCAAGGGACAAAAAACAGCAGCAGCGTCCTGTGCTGCCAGATCGCGCTTCTATGCTCTCAGCTGATTGGAATGATATATCGTATTCAGTCGATAGATTCGTAAGCCGGTTGTTGGGATTTGCTCTCCATACCCTAGGGAAGAGGATATTCTAGAGTCGAGGCCATGTTTGTCATCCCAGGCTCCATTGGATGCAGCAGCTAGTCAGTCTCTGTTATAAAGATATTTCAACGAAATTTTCAGGTTATGGTGTTCTTACCGATCGAGATATATATTAATATAGGAAACTAATAAAATCCATAAATGGTCTAAGACATGTCAATCTGAGAAAATGTCATCAGTGATATTTTAAATCAGCTTGAAAAACAAACTTTTAATATGAATTGAAGGAAATAGGGTATAAATATTGCTATAGCGTATACCTGTTGAACAGCAACAATGACGTAACGTTCCATAAACACTTACGTTTCATTCCGTGCACACTTACGTTTTATGCTTTAACCTTCTTATTTTACCTTATATTAGACACAATCCAATAACAAGGAGAACTTAATATTAACATATGTTGTAGAAAATTGATGCATCAATCCGATAAAATTATGTGCTTAGGGCTGAAGGTCCTAGCTAGCTAGCAATATTAAGCCGAATTTCAAAATCGTGGAATACGATTTTCGATCATGGACAGAAAAAGTTTAACACATTGCCGACCAGTGAAACTTGAAGAATTTTAGCGCAGTTCTGGTGAAAGATTTCGTGGTAATTTTTTAAGCAAATATAAAGGATATGATGGACCTACAAGATTAATTATTGTTAATATTATTTGTGTTATTTTCCGCGGTTTAACCCAAGCTGTTACACTGTTTAAATAAAGGGGTTAAAGTGGGCTAAGTTCGTTTTTTCATCGGTATGCCGGCTCATCGTTTCAGAAAATAAAGTTTTAATAGTTAATATTTAGCTTGTAGAATTTTCGTTGATAAAACTATTAGATTGGCATAAACATGGCTCCGGGTAGCGTTTTCCAAATTTTGCGTATAGCTAAAGGAGCACGACCGCCCGTTCTCACAGCATTTCAACGCACATTGGGTAATCATCAGAAGACTAGGTCGGCTCTTCCTCGTGCTCTGTGCACGGTGCGAAACTATAGCAGCACAGCCAGCAGTAAGTACAATTGGGAACTCTACCATTTACCATTTGATGATTGATTCATGGTTACATATGTGACATTACAGAAGAGGAACCTGCTCCATCTGCTGGCGACGCCGAAAATGCTTCATTGCTGTCGAAGCTATTTCCCCAAACAGCACCTGAGATGAACAAAACCGAAGAGCAGGAGCGTAAGAAGCGCGAAGAGGAGGAGACCAAGGAGAATGAGCGCGCCTGGAAACGCATGAAGCTAGGGTACGTAACCGCAAAAATTGAAAAGGAATACCCTGAACATTCCCTCTAAACGTGGATGCTTTTATTAGCTTTGCCGTATTTGGTGGTGGCGGCATCGTCGGCGGTTTGTGGGCCCTCTATGAGTTTGGGAAGCCCGATGTGGATCCCAATGGCCTGACAATAGAGGATGAGTTCACACACAAGCCCATGATACAGCAGTATTTCCAACGCATGTGGAAATCACTGCACTACTACCAGAAGATGATACAAGAGCCGTCGCGTGACAAGCTCTTGCCCGATCCTCTCCAGCACCCATATGTACAGCCAAAGTATACGCTTGTCCTCGAGATGAAAGACGTTTTGGTGCATCCCGATTGGACATATCAGACTGGCTGGCGCTTCAAGAAGCGGCCCGGCGTTGATCACTTCCTGTCCGAGCTGGCCAAAGAATTTGAAATCGTTGTCTTCACAGCCGAACAGGGCATGACGGTGTTCCCCATTCTAGACGCCCTCGATCCGCATGGCTATATCATGTATCGTCTAGTGCGCGATGCCACGCACTTTGTCGATGGCCATCATGTCAAGAATTTAAACAATTTGAATCGTGACCTGCGAAAGGTAAGTGTCTCCCGCTAATACTTGATGAGAAATGGATGATGAGACCTACTTTCGCTTTTCGCGGCAGGTGATTGTGGTCGATTGGGACGACAATGCCACAAAAATGCATCCAGATAACACATTCGGCATCGCTCGCTGGAATGGGAACGACGATGATACGCAGCTCCTCGATCTGGTGGCCTTTCTAAAGAGTAGGTTCCCACTCGGGTTTTCATTCCCTCTCTGGTTAATAGTTTATTTCTCTCGTTTAGTTATTGCCCAAAACGACGTGGAAGATGTGAGGGAAACCCTGCACTATTATCGACAGTTTGAGGATCCTATCAATCAATTCAGAGAGAATCAGCGCAAGCTGGCCGAACAAATGCAGGAGGAGGAACGCATTGAGAGGGCTAAGGCGAAGCCCATGGTCAAGCAATGGACACGCAACCTTCTGGGACGCTAGAACCGCCCCCACCCCCAAATCATCCCAGACACCCAGAAAGACAAATTAAACATACACAAAACTAAATCCAAATGAACCCCAAAAAGCACACAAACCGACCGAATAGAATGTCTAGAGATTTTGGGCTGGGGACAGGGAAATTGCAAGTAAAATTGGTCTTATTTTTGTAATTGAATAAATCAAGCGAAAGTTGTTTTTTTTCAATGAATTGCATAGCTTGTTTTCGTTGTATGGCAAATGTTATCTTAATAATAATATAATAGTTATACTTAAACAAATAAAAAAACAAACACCAAAGACGAAGACGTAGAGAGATACATACATACATACATATATATGTAAATATGTAATAAACATTCATCTATATATAAACCCGCTTGTACCTTTGACCCTGTTTTTCTCTGGAACTTTTATCAATTGAAATTTTCGATATTTTCTATACTTTTAATTGTATGGAAAAAGTGGCAGTCGGCTTGACAGAATCAATATTAATGCTTATGAAACATGGCTTAAATCTGGGTGGTGGTTCGCCATACTGGAGATATACATCGGTAATTCCTCTGTAATCCTGGGTAACCTAACTAGTCCTCGATATTAGTCCTCTATAATTCGAAGACAGCCCAAAGTAAATTTATGGGCACTCTACCGAAAGCCTAGAGCTTGCTGCTAGCAGCATCATCTAAGCAGCTCTCGCCCTCCATCTCTCTCGATATGTCGCTTTCGTTTGTCCTTGGCCAGCAGTAGCATCTGAGCAGCTCTCGCAATTATTTTCAGCTTTGCTTTAATTTAGGGCACAGTCGAATCGAATCGTCTGTCCTGGCAATCACTCTTCACCAATCTAATCCTTGACTGACTCGTTCAATCGTGCACATGATTTCACTTATCTCGCTCGAACCTTTTGCTATCGTTTATCTTTATATGTCTTTATATAGTTTATATATAAAACATATATTAAGGCCAAGTCTTGAGTGACTAGTGCATTCAAAATTAGTAGTACTAGGATTTAGTTAAAATAAACATAAAACACACAAAAATATAGAAAAAGATGACCAAAGCCAAATAAAATAATGTAAAATTTTAAAAATCCCTCCACAGAAAACCTACAGTTAAAGATTACCTCAAATAAACAAATATATACCACGGCATTTAAGTTAATAATTATAAATATTGTAAATTAATTGTAATTAAAAATATGATCTTTGTAATTTTATTTTTAAAGTTTGACTTAACTAATCTAATAGTTTGATTTAACTAAATAAAATCAAAATTAAATGAAAAATACATTTTTGTCGATTTTTTATTTTTTTTTATTTGTTAGTCGAATTTTGATGGTTGTCGGGGTTTGTTAGTCTTTATGACCAATGAAACTTAAAAGAGGTACATACATATAAAAGGCAGAATCATGACAGAAACAAAAACTGGTGCAATCAAATATTTATGTATAATTATTTTACCAAATTCTACGAAGACTTTGTCAAGGCGGTGTTCCGGAATATTTTTACAGAGCTCTCTGCCAAATGTGCTCAAAATGATCGCTTCCACAGTTTAGAAAACAGTATTTTTGGCAAACATGAAGCATATATCCACCTTTTACTTTTACCCTTTCCAGTTTCTTCTCTACGAGTACTATCCGCAGTTTTATACATGATATATAGTCTATATATATTTGTAGATATTCTTAGGCTAACCTTAAACCAGTAGTGTCGTATCCCTCCCCTTAGCGTCCCTGCCGCTGCTGCTTGGTCTAGAGCACCACCACAACCTTGGAGTTGGACACTTTTTGGTCAGTTACGTCGGCCGAATGCATGACCGTAGAGGATCCTCCTCCTCCACCGCCATGACGGTGGTTGAGATCATTGGTCACATGCATGCCCACGCCCACGCCGACTGCCGAAGAGCTGACAACGGAGGTGGTGGTGCCACTGTGGCGCGACTCCTTGTTGTGGACGCGCAGGTGACTGTTCAGTCGCTTCTTGGTGGGGAATGCCTTGCCGCAGATCTCGCACTTGAATGGCTTCTCGCCGGAGTGCAAGCGGACATGGGCATTGAGGTTGCTGGTGAATGTGAAGGCACGACCACAGATGTGGCACTTGTGCGGCTTTTGGCCGGAGTGGACAAGCAGGTGCTTCTTGTAGCCGGACTTCTGCGACAGTCCGACGCCGCAAATCTCACAGGTGAACATCTTGGCGCCGGTGTGGCTAACCTTGTGCTGCCTCAGCGATGAGGAATCATAGTAGGCTTTGTCGCACAAATCACAAGCATATGGTCGCTCTCCGGTGTGCGTGAGCATGTGGCGTCTTAGATGATCCAAAGCGGCATAGCCGCGACCGCACTGATCACAATTGTGTGGCTTTTCCTCTGCATGGGTGCGCTTGTGGGCGGCCAGGCTAGATGTGGTGCGATAGAATCTTCCACAGATGGTGCACTGGTGGGGCTTGACATTGGTGTGGGTAAGCATGTGCTCCTTGAAGTTGCGCAAATGCTTCAGCTTCTTGCCGCACTCCTCGCATCTGTACAGCTTTTCGTTTATGTGGGAACGCATGTGCTGGTTCAACCGGCACTGTTGGCGGAAAGGCTTGTGGCATTCGTTGCAGACATACGGTAGCGGCTCGCAGGGCAGTTGGCTCGAATCCAGGGACTCATCTAGGTAGTCTTCCTCCTCGGCCTCGACCTCCTCTTCTTCGCCAGTCTGTTGGATAGTTTTTGGATGCAAATTAACGTTTCTACGGGATGGGGGGTTGCACTTACCAAATGCTCCTCTGTTTCCTCCTCTACGATGTCCAGTCCCTCTTCGCCGACCTCTTCTAGGGCGTCTTCGGAGCGTATCACTATCATTTGGTCATCGAGCATATCGGCTGTCGTTTCGTCCATCACTTCAATATCATCCTCATCGCCGTCAAGCGAGCAGAACTCATTCTTGATGGTCACATATTCGATTTCTGCTGGCTGGTACTCATGGACGCTCTCCATCTCTAAATGCTCGGCTGTGGCTGTTAGCTGTTCATCCTCCTCCTCGTCTACATGCTCCTCATGCTCCTCATGCTCGGCCACCTCCTCGATGACGAACTCCTCCTCGACTTGCTGCAGTTCGTTCAGATTCTCTAGCATAGCGGACGACGACTCGTCCGTGGAGGAGCCCTGCTTGGCGCTGCTGCCCCCCTGCACATCGGTTAGCATCTCAACCATGACGTACTCATCGAAGGCGTCGTTGGCTTCATTCAGTCCCTGGCGCAGAAGTTCGTCCGAATCAATAACCATGCGCTTGAATGCAACTGCCTGCTCCAGGAGCTGCAGGCAGTTCTGACATATGTGCTGCGGCATCGTTTCGCCGTCCTCCGGCTCAAATGAGAGGTTCGAGCAATACTTTAGCATGTTGGCCAGGGTGGTGGTGCCTTCGGTACCAATCTCGATCTCGTCTTGGAGCGATTTATATAGCTTGCAGGCTCGTGTACAGGTACGGCAATTCATCACCACGCTCCCAGCCTTGGCCGTCATCATTGTATCGCGAATTCTCTAATTTTAATTGCTATATTTCGTCAGTTTTTTCGGATAATCCGAATGATTTTCCTATACCACGCACACAACGACTTCTTTTGCTTTTTTTTGCTATTTTATTTAAAAAGCAAGCAAAATGTGTTGTCAAAACAAAAAACTGTGGTCAATAATACACTCTACACGGTTACTACACGGTCACTTCACATTTTCTACACAATGGAAGGAAAAAGAGGGTGTGGACAACAGGCAACACGGCAATTTGCAATATGTCTTGGCTGGTTTTGCCTGCTGTCCATACCCTTTTTTATAGCCCATTCACATTTACAACTCATTTTTTCGTCGCAGGAGAGACCACTTATCGATAAGTAGTATATAGTATATACTCAGAAATATACTGAAATATACGTCACAGTTTCAAAATATACCATAAATGTACTGACGAATTACTTGTATTCATTCTTATTCCATCATATGCCTTGATTTTGATATTCGGTTGAATATTACCAGCCAGCTAGGACCTGAGGGTCCTGAACACATAATTTGATCTGTTTGAAGAAATTAAAAACTAATATTAAGAGTGCGTAAGTTAGACATGGTGTATAAACTGCCAGTTTGACCGCGGACTTATTATACGGACTGACACTCAGAAGTGTACCGATAAAAAAAGAACTACGTCCATTCAACCACCCTATATTCAAAAGGTGAACAACTCGAATATAGCCGCTGAAAAAAAGCCGAAACAGATAGTCAATAACCGATTTGAAGAAAGCAGTTCGCCTATCGATACTATCGATTGGATAATCGCAAGAGCTGCGCGCCAAAGCGAATTGTTTGAAAGTGAATGACTGACAAGGTTTTGAAAGCAACCCAGTGGAATAAGCGATGCACGGAAGTAGGATTTGAGAGATCGAAAATCCAAAAAACCTGCGTTTTCAATTTAATTAAAACAATTGGAAATTACTAAATCAAATTTGTGGAAGACACTAAACATACAATTACAGATCGAACGAATTATTTGACTCGTGAGCAAAGCTGGTGATCTGCTGCCTACGATTTTCTGCAGCTGCCGATTGCGGCGGTGGCATACGATTCCGAAAGCTGGTAGGGGCCCTGGAATCAAGTGGGTCGATCGCCAGGACCGATGCGGGCCCCGTATGCTCTTCCATTGATCTCCGACGCTTGGACATGAGAAAACTAAAGAACGATTAAAAATGTAATTCCGTTTCGCTTAATTGTCAAAGACTTACCGGCGTTCGGCCTCTTTTTGCTGTGCCACCTGCAATTTAATTTGACGCATTCGCAGAGTCAGTTTTCTCCGCTCCACGCGCAGCGTCTGTTGCTCATGAAAATGCTTCTGGCATACCAACTGGGCTAGCTCTATGTCCTTGTCTAATTTGTCCATAATCTTCTCCTGTCATGGACAAAAGGCAAGAAATTAAACTGAACTGAAACTAATACATTTTAGGTAATTTTGTAATTAGATAAGTTGTTTACCTTCTTTTCCTTGTACTTATTGAAATTTTTTTGGTTGGTTCGCTGGAATGTTTCTACGAAATCAAGGGCCAAATTCCACGGCTCCGGATGAAACAAGCGCTTCAGATTGTTGGGCATCGAGTTGTTTATTTGCCGGCCGCGCACATTCTTGTGGCAGATGGGGCACGTGTAGATGGGCGCATCGCTGGGCGTGCGTCCTAGGCAGGCTTTCACGCATTTCTCGCAGCTCACATGCTGGCAGGCCAGTAAGAAAAACATGTGCCTCTTGAGGGCAAACTGATCGAAGCAGCGATTGCAGTGTATCCATAGTTTATTGGCATCCGGCTTGGGCGTCGGGGACGATTTGCCAGCATCGTCCGCGCCAACTTTGGACATCATTTTGATCAAATATCGGTGCAAATGTTTTGGGTTTGTTTATTTAATTGTAACTGGACTTCTCCCAGGGTTGGGATACCAGTGTAACAAATTATTCCAGCTATATGGCAACTTCGCTGTGTGTACTAACTTGCGGGCAACTCTGTCAGGATAACGGAACATACAATAACACAAGACTTTTATTTGAATATAAAAAGAAACATGAAACACAATATTTAAAACTATTAGTTAGGTCTGGCGCATCCGCTCAATTGGTTCCCTGGGCCGGATGCGATACCGCTTCGACGAACTGGACGGCGACATGGAATTGTAATACTGATTATCCAGTGTCTGAGTGCGCTTCCGCTTCAAGGGCTGCACATCATCCGTAGCTTGCGTCGAGGTGCGCACAAGAGAGCCTGCTATCGAGGCGCAACGTCTGATTAGGGAGCCAGATGATCCATTGTTCTCCTTGTTATCCTTGTCGCCTCGCAATGTGGCCGGCAGTCGCATCATGGAGCTCATTATGGACCATAGGCGTCCTGTGCCCTGATCCTGCTTCTTATCTTTTCGTGTGGAGGCATTGGTGGGCAAAAAGACCTCTTCATCTTCATCTTCCTCCACCCCAGGACTTTGACCCACTGGCAGGTCCTGGACCCCACTGAAGGCTGCCAGCTTGTAGCAATCTCGCAGCGGCGGACGAGCTCTGAGACGTTCCGGCGGCGGTGAACTGCGATACATGGATGCCACAGACTTCTCCTTCTTGATGGCGGGCGAGAACTCCCCGCTTATCTGGCGCGGTACAATCGGCTGCCTGCGCCGCTCTGGACGCTCCGGTGTGCCAGTATTCGGAGTGTAGAATGTATCCTTACTGTCCTCCTCCCCATTCTGGAAGGCTACTTCCTGGCTCTTGTACGGTGTCTCAAATTTAATTTGCTTCTTATTAATGGCAGCGCCAGTAACTCTGGTGATGGGTGTAATGGGCGGCACATGAACCTCCGCCGACTCCGAGGTGGATCGGATGATCTCCACACTCTCGCAGGAATTGTAAACGGTCGACCCGCTACTCTCCCCAATGCTCGAGGGCATGGTCCTGGTAATGATAATCGACTCTGTGGTCAGTTTTTGGGCCGAGAGCAGATATGGCCTCCTGTAAACATCATGAGGATGCGACAAGGAATTCGTCTCCGAGGAAGAGCTCTCACTTTGAGTTCGTCGAACGACGGGCGAAAGGCGCAGATCTAAAGCAGATGATCCAGCTGCTCCCCCATCGGCCGAGTAGCTATTGTTATCGCTGAGATCGAGACGAACCCGCCGCTGGATAAGGCCGGTCGGGGGAGGAACCAGCATTGCTCCATGCTCGACAAAGGCTTTCTGAATGCTCTTGGACATGACCTGTCGGAGTGGGGTGACAGCGCTTATCTTGTTGCGAGCCCCCACCTTCCAGGCACGCTGCTGCAGCTGCTGCTGGATCGGATTTCCCTCAAGGGCCGGGCTCGGCTCCTCCTGATAGATGCTCGACACGTGTCCCCCATTGGAGGCATTGAAGGTGAGCGGCTCCTTGGGCTTGGCAAACATCGACTCCAACTGGACGGGGGTTGAAGTGGATCGAATTATCTTCCCCTTTTCTACGGTTTCATGCAGGTTTGCCAGCTGACCGATGCTGCGCCTAATCGATGATCCATTACTGATGGATGAGATATTCCTGATGGAGGAGACACTGTCGCCTATCAGTTCGTCGTGGGTGACACGACTCTTGGCCTTCCAGCGCATATTGATCAACGAAATGGGCGTCAAGCCCGGCGAGGTCTGGGTGGAGATGGTGGTGCACATTGGCGCACCCGAAGCGGGTACCATAGCCAGCGCCTGCTTTACAGTCACTTTGGATGATTCCGTATTGGCAGTTAGATCGCTGCCGCTGCCACTGCAGTCCTGTCGCATATCCACGCACTTGCTGAACTCTTGCAGATCGTTGATCTTCGTGTAGTTGCGTAAACACTTGCGACATCGCAGCGGTAGGTGGGCGGTCTCGATGTGCGCCAATAGCTCCGCATAGATTTCCTCACACAGCACAAGGGGCTTGCGCTCGCATATCGGACAGAACACGTAGATAGTAGTCAGTCCCGACTCCATTTTCATTTTATGTTCGACTATGCCGATAGCATTAGCCATAGCAAGCGGCTCTCTCACTGCAATGGCGTGGGTTTTGAACTGATGCTTATTGCGGCATTTACCGCAACAGAATACACGCTGGCAGATGTGACACTTGCCCTGGCAATGAAACAAGACAATCGTATACAAACTCGTGGCGGTCTTTGGTTTAGGTATCATACCTCATCGAACTGCCACATGTTTAAGCCAGTAAAAATAGACATGACATGAAATTAAATAAAGTTTTTTACATCGCTCCTGCGCACACACACACACACGCATGCAGAAAAATTCAACGGTTCTTTGTCGCCTCTATGTTTGCGGTAGTTACAGAGTTGCTACGTATGATAATTATTTGGGAAATAACGCTTTAAGCTAATAGTATTAGTTCATTTATCTACATCGACTACCCTAACTGAATCCAATCGAAAGTCGTATTTCTCATCGTTAAGTCGCAAACATTTATTGCATGTCCCAATGGGAGTAAAATAGTGGTAACTAGGCACTAACTAGATAGCGATAAGCTTAAATTCAAAAATTATATTATGTATATACAAATGACTGCGCCGATATGTAGTTCGATACTTGTGTATATCGAGTTACCTACCGATACTTGACTTAACTCAATAGCTCAGATATCGTGTTTACACTTGCACAAAGTAAAGTTATTGCGTTCAAGATCTAATACGTACGTTTCTAACAAAATTGTATAAACCAAACCAATTATTATCATGGTTGATCCAGTGATCAAATTCGGTAAATCGAGCAAACGCAACCACTAGTGTAAATAGGGTGTTAGGGTGGCTCTTTATTTACCCGTTTTTACGTTATTATTATTATTTTGAAGTACGCACCTAAACTTTAAAAGTTAATTTACAAGTTGAAGGCACACTTTAATTCAAATTAAATCGATTCAGTGGATATGATGATTTGCTGACAGATAAACGTGGATCAAACTGAGTGGGACGCGATGTCGAAAAATGTTGATTACACGACCTCACCTTATGCTCAGTGCTCCATGCGCTGCTGATGTGTTTGAACAGTTTCATGAAATTCACAAAATTCTATGTTCAATAAAAATCTGCTGTCATCAATACAGAAGAAAATAGTTTAGCATAGACAACTAAGCATAGGAAAAGCCATGCTGGACAACGACGCCAGCAACAACAATTGCAATCCACATAAACTGCCACTCGGGGATCTTAAGTTCGCCCTCTCTGGCCAGGATGGCGTCAAGCGGCATGTCCCCGCTCTGGTGAGTGAGAAAATGTCATTTCCTTGCATATTTACTTATAAGGTGTATGGCGTCTTGCAGGATGTGCATTGGGTGAGACGAGAGAAGCCCTTTGGTAGCTACATTTGCCTGATGAGCTCCTATGGCAAGCTCAAGACCGCTGCGGCCCTGGAGGAATGGACATTTACGGCCAACAATTGCCGTCAGGATTTGGAGTTTCTGCTTGGCTTGAGCCAGCATGAGTGAGAATTCGAATTTCAACGTCACTTTACATCCATAACATAGCTAAGAAAATATTCCTGCTGTCTCTGCACAGATTCTGGTCGTATATGGTATACGAAGAGTCGGCCATGGCTGCCATTGTGACATTCCTGCAACGAGCCAATCCATACTACAGACAACCCGATGTCAGTGATAATTCCGCACAGGATAAGGAGATCGCTCAGGCCAATCAACTGTATGCGCAGCTCCTTAGACTCGTTGTGCGTCTGGTGATGCGTCTCTGCACCGCAAAAGAATCGGCCTCCGAATGGATTACCCCTCAGCAGCACAGTAGCCTCCTATATAGCAACTATCTGATCTCTGTGCCGCTTCTGTTCGATCTGGCCATTGCTGTGGGCGACTCCGAGCCGCGAAATGTGGCCCTGCTGAGTCAAATCTTTGACAGCGTTCTGCGTATTCAGCCGGAGTACAAGAAGGACCTGAAGGAGGCAGTGGCCTTCTATGAAAATGCCTTTCTCAGCATGCAGATTCAAGTGGAAAACGAAGGCTGCGAGGGCGCAGGCGGTGGTGTGCCGATTGATGGTGATCTGGAGACGCCCTACGATGATGTGGTGCTGTTTGCCTTAGATTGTGCCTATACGCTGCGAATCTTGCTGCAGCTACGTCCAGAGCTGGTGGAGACCATCGAAGAACTTCGCCTGGTGCAAAGGTGCCAAACATTCCATCTCCCTCTTCCTGTGTGGACTCTGTATCATTCGTCTCTTTCTTATTCGTAGCATTGCCAATTTCTACGATCTGACTGTTCCCATGCTGTACAAGAACATCTATATGGTGAATCCCCAGGCGAATTCCCTGCGCTGGCTGAACGAGACCCGCCAGCAATTCCTTGGCGTGGTTCGTGATGTCATCAGCTCACAGCTGCAAGGCGGACGAGGCCAGCAGTTGGTGGAGCTGCTGCAGGAGTGCCTCTCCGCCCAAACGTTTGTGGTGGACTACCAGCGACAGTATCCGCTCGAGCATGACATGCAAATGCTGCTAAATCGCTGTCCCAATGTGTACGTAAATCTCTCCGACTCAAATCGGTTGAATATACATATAATATATACCATTTTTTACAGGAAGAACTATAAGGTGGACTTTGTGGTATCTGGCTATCAGAAGGCTGTGAGCACTTGCCTCAGTGGCGTCATGGCCGATGAGCTGGACAGTAGCCGGGACGTCTCTTTTGACGGCGACGAAGAGGAGGACTCTACGCCCACCTCGCCACTGCCTCAGGCCACCTCCAATGGGTCAACGCGCGACATTGATCTGGAGGTCAGCGCTGTCCTGGATGTGTTGCCCGATCTGGGCATGGGCTTCATACGTTCCCTCCTCACTCGCTACGAGAACAGCGAGCAGGCGATAGCAGCCATTTTAGATGACAATCTGCCACCGGATCTAGCTGAAATGGATCGGCAGAAGGTATATGTACCACCCGATCCACAAGATAAGCTCCAGAGTCAGACGGGCGTGCGTCACTTCAATGTGTGCGATGGCGATCGCTATGATGTCCTCACGCAGGATAAGCCCGAGTGCATTATCAAGCAAGGCAAGGGTCTGCCTGGTGGTCCACGCAATGCCGAGCAGCTGCTGGACGACAAAACGGATGTGAAAAAGCTGAAGGAGCGCTACCAGCAGTATGCCATGGTCGAAGAGTCGACTCACGATGGCGATGGCGTGGAATACGATGATGAGTACGATGACAGCTACGAGGCCCTCAACGAGGGTCAAGCACCGCCCGTGAGTCTCCTGCGTGCGCGAATGCAGGCGGCCTCGCACTTGGCGTCCTCTCACGCTGCTGCCTACGAGATCCAGGACCAGGAGGAGGATGACGACGATAGCTCCGATAGCAAGTCCGAAAAGGGGACGGTGTCCCGTGGGGGCGCCGACTTCTGTGAGAACCCGGAGGTTATCCGTGCCCGTTACCAACAACGACAAATGGCCAAATATGGCCAGCGGGGATCAAGTGGGGCACAGCAGAGTGCTGCTGTGAGCGGGGCGCCCAAGGGACAAGGCCAGACGCAGCAGACCCAACGCAGCCGCGGCCAAAAGGAGGCGCACAAATCATCGCGTGCCAATCACAATCGCAAGGCAGGAGCTGCCTTTAAGCGCAGCAAAGGTATGATGTCCTAAAGCATAAATAAAAGATTACTATGTGAACGCACAGTTTGTATTTAACATTTGATTGGGCACTTCTTGGAATATTCAAAATGTACAGGACTCGACTTGGACCTTCAGTCAAAGGCGTCCATTGATATGTGTATAATTAGCATTGAAACTAGCTAAGATTAACTATAGGAAAGGAATCATTAAATTATGTGGTTTCTCTGTCCATAAAATTTCGATTTAGAATTTTCATCTTGGCGCTGTGCGAATCCACATTATTGACCAGCAGGTAATTCTCACGAACAAAAGTCTTGAATGGGGTGTTGAACTGATTGGCACGCCAGATTTTCTGTGTGTCAGTGACGCGCCAACGCTCTACGTTCACCTCAAACTGGCAGTAATGACACCGGAGTAGCTCCGCCTCGTTTTCAAACGATACCAGGCCATAGGAGCAACGGGCGCAGAGCGTGCAGGAATATTTATAGCTGGCATCGCAGTCACTATTCAATGCCAGCTCTGGTATCAGGCTCTTTGCTTGGTAGGCCCTGAGGATACACAAGAGATAGGGGATAAACAAGAGAAGCAAGATGAGGCTTGCCAGCCTACCATTTGCGGCAGTTGTCGCCATGTCCTGTCTCACGGTTATAGACAAAGGCCGCCACATGGCACATCTCATGCAGCAGTGGCTTTATAAGCATGCCCGGTTGATTGATGTGCTTCCACAGCAGAATACGTGCAGTGCGGTTGCCTGAAGAGTTGAAACCCAGCTCGCTGCTGCAGGGAGTACTCATGCTGTTTTTCCAATAGATTTTCGCCTGAAGGCCGCAGTGAAAGATGGCATGATTGAACATACTAAATAGGACCTTGGCCAGAGCCACTTTGCACTTCTCAAAGTCACCTTTGCGATAGGGCAAAGCCCGCGGATGGCACATATTGATCGAAGTCTGAGCTGTAAGTGGAAATAAAGTGTTAGTTTTTCTTTCGGACAAACGTATTTAACTAACGATTTAGGGATTCGACGAATCCGTAGAAGAGCGGATGCTGTTCTAGGCAGGCAATGCTTCCATTGTGGCGCCGGCAAATGCTCGCACGCTGTTTATCGCTTGGCAGTCCACTCAGATCGATTTTCTCCTTGAGGAAAGCCGGTGTCTGTGTCTCAATGAAGGTGGAATTCGCCTGGACAATCAGATCGTCATAAAACTTAGCTTGCCTCTCCTGAAGGGTGGGTATATACAGCTTCGATATGTTCAGCATTGACCAGGTGTTGCTGCCTGTCGGTGTGTTGGGCGTAAAAAGGCGTTTGGGTGTCGATAAGGTGGTCGTCTCAGTTAGATGACTCTTGGAGGGCACTGGAAGAGTCTCCTTTTGGGAAGAGTTATCTGGGTCATCGTCAAAGTTGTCCATGGGATTGTAGAGGCGTCGCCGCGGGGCAATAAGTCCCAGGAACTTGTGCAGTTTCGTCTTGAACTCCGGATCATCATCAACCGATAGATCGGCTACGGGGTTGTCCCCCACAATCCCCACAGACTGGCTCAGATCAATATATATTAGACGTCGATCGCTTTTAGGGCTATTGGCTTCGCTGCTGCTGCTGTGCTGATAGGAGAAGCGCCTCTGTTTGCGACCCATCCATTTATGCTCCGTGAGGCTCTGGTCCACGGTATAATCGTCGTCATCATCACTGTCGATCGAAAAACTAATCGACTCGTCTTCCCCCTCCGGCTGCGACGAGGAGTAATCAAATGTGGTATCCAGAACAGTGCGCACGGCGCGTCCACTGCGGGTTACCACTGTCGGATTAGTAGGGGTGCTGGCACGACCCACCGACTGATCTATGAATATAAATCCATCTATATTATATCATTCTTCAGATACCTACTCCCGACTTACATTTTTCTACCGATCCACTGGCGTGTGATTCCCCAGATGTCCCACGTTTTCTTGAAGATCTTTGATCCATGTTGCCCAGACTAGAATCTATTATATTTGTTTTGAAAATTACTACGCCTTGTACATTATTATTTTTGGGGACAATTTTTCTTACTGTTTCGGCTGATTGTCTCTTCAGGTTCTGTCTCTTCGATGAGGATGTTATCCTCTGATGAAGTGCTATTAATCTCGGATAAATGGAAGAAGCTGACCGCGCTCAACGAATCATCCGAATCAACAAAAATAACACTGCTGCTATCTCTGCTAGGTGTCTTTTCGTCGTCACTATTGCCAGCTTCGGCCATTTGGGGCAGTTTGCACGGGAGATCGTCAGTCTTCTGCGACAGAAACTTGTGGAATGAAAGTGCCGTGTAGGGAGGCAAATGAAAAACTTACCATATTATTCTCGGTATCATTCTCGTTTAATTTCAAATTGCTGAGCATATTTGACAAAGAAGTGTTATTCTCTTGATGGAACATGTTTACTTTACTGTTGTCTTGAGAGACTTGCCGGCATCATTCATAGTTAAGTAACAGTGCTGGAAAGGGTGATGTATAGCTATTTATCGATACTTGTGCTAGTCATTTGGCGGGGGTTTTTTTCTATGATATGTATGAGGAACTATGATTCAAATTTGTAGCTCAAAAATCACTACACAACAGGTTTCATTATGAATATATGATATCTTTGTACCAAACTCACGTGTTTTAATAAAGTTTGCAATGGCACCACTAGTTAGTTATTGTTTTAGTCTATTTTATGGCTCTATTGCCATATACCGCGTATTCTAGGTATATTTTGATGTCGAATTTGAAGTGAATAAACCAATTTACCATACATATTAGTAAACAATCGTAGATTTTATTAAAGTTTACTACAATAATAAGCTTAAAAATAATAGTAATTTAGATTAGACCAGACAATGATCAGGCAATCGATAGTTTCCAATGTACTCGGAGGTAAATTAAATCAAATTGAAATCATTTTAATGGGGTCAAGATTGAAAACATCTCAGTCGATATATTTTATCGATAGTACTCATGTATGTTTGTGTTCTCTAGCACTGGCGTTTATTTGTAGTTGCTCTCCCCACTAAAAGACGCCGCCTCCGTATTTTTTATTTAATAAACTTGTTAAATTAACAATTAAAAATGGGTCGCCGTTCCATTAATACCACAAAAAGTGGGAAATATATGAATCCCACAGACCAAGCGCGTAAGTCAGATCAGATTTTTTAGCCAATCGGAAATTGTAACCGCAAACCCCCACAAAATGTTTCAGGCAAGGAGGCACGCAAAAAAGAGTTGAAAAAGAATAAAAAACAGCGGCAAATGGTACGAGCAGCGGTCCTTAAGAACAAAGATCCATCCCAGATCCTCGAGGAGATGGAGAAGATCGATGAGATGGGTAAGTTTCTTTATAGGCATGGTATGCCCCTTGTCAAAATGATGCAGTGGCTCCAATTCTCTCTTGACAGAGTACAATGTGCTGCAGCCGTCGCCACTCAATGAGAAAGTGTTGCGGGACAAGCGTAAGAAGCTAAAGGAGACCTTTGACCGCGTGATGCGACTCTATGTAAGATTTTCCCTTTAAACAGTCCACAAAAAAGCAACACATTTTTGTTCCCTTGCCCCTTGCAGCACAATGACGAGCCGGAGCACTGGGCAGAGCTGAAGCGCAAAGAGGTGGAGTACGAGAAGAAGCGTATGAAAAAGCAGCAATACTACGAGAGCGTCAAGCACGCTCAGAGTGTTCAAATTGATGAGATTCCCTTGCCTGCTCCCGTCACACCGACAACGCCTGGTCCTACTCCAAACGTAGCCCCTGCCGGCACAGGCTTTGGGGTGGGCGTTGGCATGCGTGTTCCACCACCGCCTATCGCCCTGGCCCTTCCTCCATATGCACCAGGCGCACCACCGGGAGTGCCCAAAAACAGCGATGCAATATCCGTTGAAGTCCAGGCAGACAAGCCCAGCGAAGAGGAGGATACGGATTGGCTGGGCGTACCGCCAGGACCCCCGCCAGATTTGTTTGCCATGTCGGAACTAGACTCGGACGCCGAGGGTAATACCGACTACGACGGGGAAGGGGACGAGGAAGAAGAGGAGGATAAGGAGGAAGCGTCAGAGCCAAGCACTCAGAACATTGATGACTTCATGAAGGAAATGGAGCATGTGCACAAACGCAAGCATCGCAAACTCGCTAAGGAGGATGAAGAAGGCGGCTCGCCTGACGAGGAAGACGATGAAGCGAATGAAATGTCCGCGCGCAGCCAAGACAGTGACTCGGACAACAAATCGAACCTCAGCAGCGATAGCGAAGACGACCCCGAAGACGAGGAAGATGAAGATGAGGAGATGTCCGAGCCAGCTGCAAAGCCTGAGCCAGCCAAACCAATTGTGCCTGCCATAACGACTCCCGCCCCGCCCAAAGCTCCCACATTGCCACCCCTTCCGCTGCCGCCAACGTCATCAGTGCCGGCCCCACCACAGGTCCCCCATCTACCGCCAATACACAACATTGGGCCGCCAGCTATAATGTACCGTCCGCCACCCATGCGCCCGCCAAATCCACATTCTGGTCCCGGCTCTGGGTTTGGAATGCGTATGCCACCAGGCCCACCACCGGGATCGCGACCGCCCCATGCTCTCGGGCCCATGCCTCGCATGGGTATACGCATGCCGCCAGGACCGCCGCCTGGTCTGCCACCCCGCATGGCGCATCACAACAAGCAAGGCGGGCCGCCGGCACCTCCTCCGCCGAAGGAATCGGCCAAGGGTGTGACCACCATCACCGCCAAACCACAAATCCGGTAAGCAGAGCGTATAATCGCATATAGATTCTGATTTATATCTCCATTTTTTTATTTATGCCCAGAAATCTAAGTGCGGATGTTACGCGCTTTGTGCCCTCCACGTTACGCGTGAAACGTGACGATCAACGTCGAGCGGCTCGACCCAAACACATTACGGGTGATACCGGCCATGCCCCGTCCGAGTCTCACAGCAAGCCGCCCACCAAAGACGATGCCTACATGCAGTTCATGAACGAAATGCAGGGTCTGCTGTAGCACTCCCCACAATTCCAGGCGGGAGTGTGGGAGAGTCTCTTGGATGCGGCTGTAAATTGAATACATTTTAGTTTTAGATAAATTGAGTCAACCAAAGCAAAAAGTCTTGTTCTCTATCCTAATGGTTTCTAAATTGGTTTGGGGCAAGCCTTAAATCTTATATAGAGATTACTTAAATGTATATTAAACTGGTCTCGCGGTTACCTCAGAAGGTTCCATGCTCTATTCAGATCCAGGACTCTGTCCTGAGCTGTCCTTAAAAAATACCACGTTTTCGTACTCATTACATAATTACTTTTAAGGATCAACAATCCAAAGAAGTTCGACGGAGTTGCACAATACAAATATCTTAAATATCAGAGATAGGAGAATTATAATTATCTAAGTAACTGATCATAAACAGCAGTAGTTCACCAACATTTTGCTTGACTTTTCCGCCTCCTTATGGCGTACACATGTTGCATTCTTTCAGTACATTAAATGGGCTTCATCGAAATAAATTTAAAAGAAAACTATACTAACCGGTATTAGTGCATGATGTTGGGCACAAGCTGGCTATCGCCTCGGGTCCTCCACAAAAGACCTCCAAATGAAAATTAAAAAAAATCGTAATTTCCACGGGCTAATATTTAGTTTTTAATTTACTTTATTTTTGTTGGCACCGGCTTCTTAGTTGGCTCAGGGCGTCCAGACCTCCCGGCCCGACCTCAGTCTGTGTATGCATACATATAGTATGTAATCTTATTATTTCTGTAACTTATGCACTCCGTTTATTCTATTTCCACCTAAAGACCAGTATTCCAGCTGTTTATATACTGCGCATTAAGTTATATCACTCTGTCTCTCTTCCTATCGACGAATTACCATCCAGTCGTTATATCTCGCTCACTCCGCCAGGGGGCGCTACACTGCACGAGGAAGAAGGAGAGGGAGAGCAAATTGCGGATCGATGTTTTTGGGTTTGGGCGTATTTGCGAGCCGTAAAGATAGCAGCCAATTCCGCAGCATATATGTATTGTAGTGTAAGGAGGCAAGATTAAAAAGGAAATAATATGTGGCTGTTTAAAGACTGTTGAACTTTATGTTCGATGGTATATTTCTACCAATTTTGAAGCTATTTTTATTTGATATACTTTTAATCACTCTGGAATATATACATGCTTTAAATTAGAATGGAAGTAGCACACACAAGAAATGTGAGGAAGCAAAAACATATTTACATTGCAGTTTCGGAATTGCAGATGGAAAAAATGTGAGCTGGCGTGGACTTAGGTCATTTGGCTCCATTGGTCTGGACCGATGATCTGGGTGATGATCCTTCGATCGTCTTGGCCGACTTCTTGGCAAACGGTCGCATCTCAATGATGTCCGCCTTGAGGGCCCTAAAGCTTTTGCGCAACGAGTCGGAGACCTTTTTCGTGTAGCTGGTGCCGTTGCTGCACAACGAGAGCTTGTCATCGCCCAGACCACGCCGATCGCCGGCCAGGGGACGCAATTCATCCTCCTGCTGGCCTCCAGCGTCATTCAGGGTATTTCTCAGATACTTCCGATTGAAGTGCAGCTGAGGGGTGCCCCACTTGCGCTCCAGCTCCAGTCCATTGTTCGCGTTGGGATCGTTCTCCGAATCGGGTGTGCCGGCGGCGGCTGTGGGCTCCACCTCCACCTCGCCCATGCCCTCCTTATATGTGCGCGTAATGATCATGTTAGGCGGCACACTCTTGCCATTCACACCCGCATTCTTCGTCTGCTCATAGTCGATGGGGACGGGTAGGCTCTGGCGCGGTGGCTTAGCCCGGCGCGGGGACTTAACCGCCAGCACGCTCACCCGATAGTGCAGCACCTGCTAAAAAGAAGAGATCGTGTCAGTTCAAATGAGGATTCCACTAGATACACACACCTTTTCGGGGTCCACGAAACGCGACAGCTCGTTTAGGGGAATGCTCACGCATGTGCCGTCCATTAGTATATCGCGATCGTACTCGCTGTGGACGGGGAACTTCTGGGTCATGGAGAGGGCCTCGTTGTCCGGCTGGAGCAGGGTCACCTCATAGGCATAGTTATACTTGCTCTCGCGCCGATTCGACGTACAGGTCATGGTGAAGAGGATGCGCTGCTTGTCGTAGATCTCGTAGAAGTTGAACATCTCGTCGTGTGCCTGGAAGACATAGTAGCCCGTGAGGGGCTTACGTCGCACAGCCATGTTCCACACCAGATCCGAGGTGCTCGAGCGGAACAGCTTTTCGGCATGCTGCTCCTCGAGATGCTCCTTCCACTGCACCTCCCTGCCCTGCCACTTGCACTCGCCCCACACCCGACCCATGAAGCACTTCATTGGCTTGTAGATGCACTGCTGCTCATGCCAGGGCAATAGGGCCACCGGCATACGCACCTGGCAGCCACCGGCCGCATGGCTGCATCCGAAGTGGGCCTTGGCACACAGAGCCTCGACGGTCAGGGAGCGTGAATTGGTGAATGATTCCTGCAAAGGAAAGGAAAGATGTGTCAAAAGATCACTCGCTATGCGGCTGTCGATGATGTCAATCTACAGCTATTTCATATTCAGTTTGAAGTGGCTCCCACTGTCATTCCGATCCCCCGAGCCGCCCCGTCCGCCCCGCGTACGTCACTAGATAAGATTTTGGGATACCGATAAGTCAATAACGTGGAACGTCCGCTGACGTCAATTTACCTTGCACAGTGGGCACATGAGCAGAATGCGGGTGCACTGCTCGCAGACACTGTGGCCGCTCTTGCACAGCAAAATGGGAGCCTTCATGGCGCCGGCACAGCCCGGACAGCGCAACTCCTCGATGAGACCCTCATAGTGACGAGCGGACACGGTCGGTGGTGGTTCTGCTGTTGTTGTTGCAGCTGCTGCTGCTCCTCCATTTGTCGTGCCGACTGGCGCCGCTGCTTCGCTGATTGCCGTCTCTGTTAGACTTTGACGCAACAGCGAGGCCTCGGCGGATCCATTGGTCACCGGGCTGTGCCCATCCCCGAAGCCAATGCTTCTGGTGCGACTCAGCATGGGTGGCTTTGGAGGCGGAGACATTGGCGAACGTAGCGTAACCACATTGGGGCTGGGTAGCGTGGCATATTTTACGTTCAGTACGAGACTGTTCGGAGGCTGAGGCTTGCTCGTTTCCGCTTCCATTTCGACTTCTGGCTTCTCCAGTTCCTGCTCCTTCGTCTGCTGGCTGTCCTCGTCTTTGGAGTCTTTCTTCTCTGAAGATGTGGTCTCCTCACTAATAGTACTGTTCAGAAAGATGCGGCGCTGTTCGTTGATCTGCTCGATGGTCTTTAGCTGGCCAAGAATCTTTAGCTCCTCGCCATTATAACAGCTGGAGGAGTCGCCGCCGGCTATAGGAGTTGTCGCCTCTAGTCCATTGCTGGCCACAGATGCAATTTTTTGCTCACTGCTGATGGTGCTCATGGTGACTATAGATATATTGTGTAATCACGGCCAGTTGCTCCAGCACAGTGTGTGTGCTATTTGTGTTGGCTGGCTGACTGGCCCGCCCGTCTTCTTCTGGTAATGGTTCGGTTCAGGTTTCGTATCTTATCAGAGAGACGCCTAACTAAACTAACTTCGCTGGCAATCGATTTGGATTTTTGATATACCCACAAGTAGTATACCCGCACATATCAAATGCACGACGACAACCCATTTGCCTTTCTTCCAATTTTGTATTTCGGCCTGGCTCTGGTCTTCCCTCTTTGGTTCTGTTGCCGTTGCCGTTGTCGTTGGCGTCTTGTTTCAATTATCTTTCGGCCACTACTGTGGCACGCCTTCCAGCCAAATTGAAATGCTTGTGAATCTGAATTATTGGCCATTGGCGCGGCTTCCTCTGCGTTTTGCGCCCTTTCGAATGTCCGTCTGTTTGGGCTCTCGTAATGTGGCTTGAATGCCGCAGCCATCAATGTCAAGGTGTTGACGTGTTTTGGGGTTGTTATTGTTATATATGTCTGTGCATGTAATTTCTCTAAGCCCCACCAATCCCAGTGCCGTGGAAAGCCCAGGCCAGGCCGTGCCAAATCAAAGGAACAAGACAAAAGCAACAAAAATACGATTCTTCGATCGATAGGCCATGACCCCTGACTGACTGTCAATCGGCTGGTGTCAGACATATCGAATGGGCTTTCGCTTCAAATGATTTTAATTAAATACAGATAATTGCATACCGTAATTGTTTCTGTCAGTTAGCGCCAAAAGTTTGATTTCGATAGATCATAGATAATCGAAATCTTCTGGAATGCCTGCGGTTAAATCTTTCATTGGAGAACTTAAGGCCTAAAGTTGGATGTTACTGCTTTTTATATTCACAAAAACTGGCAGCAGACAAGTTTTCCTTAAGTTTGTGGGCCAAATATTACAACTCGTTATTATCGATTGTCAATCGATGATTTATATGTGTATATCGAACTAGTTTTCGTTCTTCTATGGAGTACGTTAAATTTTTAATTAATATTTTTTGATCCTGTCCTGATGTGTGATGTCCATAGTTTATAGTACTCTATATTTAATTATACCAAAAGAAGACCTATTATGACTTTTCCCAATAAAACTAATCTAAGCAATGATAACAGAATAAATTAATATTTATGAGGATTTTATACAGTAAACTTCTGGGGCAACAAATAGTTTTATAGATATATTTTAACACCAGTTGACCAACTTGGAGAATTAAAAAAAAGCGTACGAATGGTTCCCGCAGATACACTATGGAAGATTAGACAAGCCCACGACTATTCCGCGGCCATGCACGCGTCTCTCATGCACAGACCATAGACCATACACTACAGACGTTTCCTATTTACATATGAAATCTTATCTAGACGTGGCACTGGCACTAAGGCAATCAACTATTTAGCTAAATCGTGTAATAAAAGAATTACAATACAGTCAGCTGAACAGCTGACGGACGACGCCGTACTACAGCCAACTACGGTGGACTATCGTCAATGTGACGGTGAAGGTTAAATGGCCGGGGCGGCAATGGCATTGGCATTCAGTCGTCCAGTAAATTGCGGTGCGCGCGCAAGCCAGGGCGGCAGCATCCATTCCATTCCATCTGCCGGTTAGCGTTAAAGGCCGCTTGCCGCATTCTTCATATAGCCATGGCTCCACCACGTCACATACTCGAACTCAGCCAGAAGGAGCAGCGTCAATTCATTGACTCCTTTGACATGGTCATCAGCGACTGCGACGGCGTTGTCTGGATGCTGGTGGGCTGGATACCGGGCACTGGGGCTGCCGTCAATGCCTTAAAATCGGCCGGCAAGCAAATAAAGTTTGTTTCGAACAACAGCTTTCGCACCGATGAACAGTACATGGCCAAGTTCAAGCATATTGGAGCTAACAATGTCCATGACGATGACGTTGTGCATCCCGTCAAGACGATTGTGCGTTATCTAAAGAAGCACAGGCCTGGGCAGCGTGTCTACTCCCTCATGTCGTTGGAAGCCAACGAGACGTTGCGTAAGCAAGGCATCGACTTTGAGTCGCTGGTGAGGATGGGTGCTGGAGGGTGCGATTTTTCGTGGTGGAGTAAATTATTGATTGACTTTCCTTGCAGCAAGTCAAAGAACATCTAACAGCTGCCTCGCTGGTAGATCATTTAAGCATTGACAAGCCTGTGGGCGCTGTGCTATTCGACATCCACCTGGACATGTCCTACGTGGAGCTGGCTAAGGCCATTAGGCATCTGCAGCAGAACGAGGACTGCCAGCTGATAGCGGGAGGAAGCGATGTCATCATGCCCCTCGCTGAAAACCTCAATGTGGCTGGATTCTTTGACTTCTTGGAGCATGTGAAGCGCTATACGCAGCGCGAGGCCACCTTCCTGGGCAAGCCATCGCCCATTTTGGGGGAGATGTTCGCTGAAATGTTTGAGATCACAGACCCCAAACGTTGCATCTTTATTGGTGACACCCTGGTGCAAGACGTCCAGTTCGGTAAATCGTGCGGCTATCAGTCACTGCTCGTCCTGAGCGGCTGCCTCACCAAAGAGGATATGTTCAATGCTCCCGTTGACGCACAGCCAGACTATTATGCCGACAGCCTGGCAGACTTTACGCAATTGCTCCAGAATATACAAGAATAGATAATTAGGGGTGTCCTTTATTGGTCGAGTGTGTGTGGCAAACAGAGTGTAAAACGATTTCAAATCTCCAAGTCCTCGGGATGATACAGTTCCGTGAGAAGACGATACACGTACGAGGGGGCGTGGCCACCGCTAACAGGTTATATTAAATACAATTGATTCATTTACTTGTTGAATAATAAATGTTGAACTAATTTACTTACGTATTGGATATGAATAACGTGACCAACTCAGGTGGCACATAGTCGAACATGGGGCTGTAGACCTTGGTCTCGCGGGCCGGTATTGAATCGTATGGGATCACATCCTCAGCACAGCCGACCATATTGAAGGCATCCTGTTCGCACAGATGCAGTGGCGACAGTTTGTACATGGGCGCGAGGACAATCACAGGCACGGAATAGTGCTTGGCGGCTAGAGCTACCGTATAGGCACCGCAGGCAGCTCTTAGGCCACCGTTGGCCAGAACACTGTGTGTGCCAATGATGACCTTGTTGACGCGCGACATCATGGCAAAAATGGCCGCATCTGGGATGACAATAATCTCCACATTCTTCTCCGCAGCCAAGCTGGTAGCCAGATTGTGACCCTGCAAAAGAAGAGAAGATCAATTGCTGATCTCCTTGCAGAGGAGATTAGAGTTTAACTCACACGACAGGCGGGCGCACATTCCGCCACAATGATGGTAAGGAACTGACGCTTCTTAATGGCTCGCTTAAGGAAATTCTCCACGCTGCGCGAGTGTCCCAGCGTAAGTATGATCTCCGACGAGTGTATGTGCTCTTCAGCCTGGACGCAGATGTTCTCAGAGCTGGTCTCAAGCTCCGTTTCCACCTCCTGCAGATGATCCAGCAGGGCCTCGCGCAGCCCCTGCTGTGGCACCGAATAGTCAACGCTCACATTACTCTCGCTGGTCTGGGTGACCAGTTTGTGGAGCGACAGCGAGGCCTGTGAGTCATCTGTAAAGTGCTGGACCTTGGCATGCAGCAGATCGAACTCCTCGCGTGTGAGTTTCAAGATGCGACGTGCTATGTTCGAGGTAACAGTCTCCTGTGGCAGGGCCGCCTGCAAGATTCGGCATTGGGCCCGCACAATCTGCATCAGGGCACTGCAATGGTACATATATTCATTGAGAGTCTCACATAGCTATAGGCAGCCATACTTACTCGGCATTCTTCCAGCTCTTGCTGATGATTATGTATTTGAAGATGTCTAATGTCTTGTTGGTTATGCCGAAGGAGCCCTCCACCAACCTGCAAAGAGGAAATGGCAGCTGCTGTACTTGAACCATGCGTTTATTGCTCACTTACCCCACTTTGATGGCATGGATTAGCTGGGTGACCTCTTTCAGTGGCTGTTCCCGCATTTTGACCCCAAGCGTATTACAAATTACCGTCAAAATAATAAAATTTGGTAAACAGACGTATTACCACGTATGTTATCGATACCATACCCTGTGAGACAGGTATGACAGGTATCAGCTATAAATAGCTGTGCGCTCTGCAAGAAGTGGGTCCAAACCAAACCAGCACAAGCTGAACAAATAAAAATATACATATGGTATTTCATGGTATTTTGTATTATAACACACACATAGTAATTTTAACTGTAAACTTTGAGAATTTGCATCAATTTACATTAAACAGTTTGTGGACAAGCTAGTTAATTTGATTGATTTCTTCATTGAAGATTTAGCTTTTTTTATTGCGTACGAATACCGCTGAATGGCCAACACGGCAGCATACACTGCTCCGTCAGCTGTGCAATCGGTTATCGGGGAAGAGAGGCCGCCGCAGCCAGCGCAGCAGCAACACAACAATAACAATTACAACAACCACACAGCAGCAATGCCCAACGATAAAAACTTGCCCTGGCCGCGAGAATGGGCAGCTCTGAAGCTTCAAATTGTTGTTTACGTGTCTTCTTCCCAAAGCTGAGGACGCTACCACATTGACCCGACGCACGGTTCGGTGGCAGTAAGACTGGCAGAAAAAACGAAAAGAAATTTCCTCTAGACCCCGGGTTTTGAATCCGGATCGATCTCAGTGTTTGCTCGCGGTGTTGATTTATCTGGCTGCTGGCTCTGTGTTCTATTCTATTCTATTCTATTCAATTCTATTCTGTATTCTGTTTGCTCCGACTCTATTCTTGCGTCTACCGGTCTACCCTATCATATATTTTTGTTTGCTCTCTCTCGCATAAGTAAACCGTTTCCGAAATAACCATGAATATCCATAGTGAGTAATATACATATGTTTAGTTGGATCCGAACTCTTCATAATTAATGTCACAATGCTGTTGCCCGCTCCCATTTCTTATCGTACAGTGAACACGAACACTCTGAAGTACATCAGTCTCCTAACGTTAACGCTGCAGAATGCGATCTTGGGCCTCAGCATGCGCTATGCCCGGACCAGACCCGGCGACATTTTCCTGAGTTCAACGGGTGAGTTGCTGTTGCCCAGCATGGAATGTTGGCAAAGCATTTACGTTGGCAATTCCACGCAAGCAACAGCAGATCAGCAGAGGCGCTGGAAGTGAACAAGAGTTTGGCATGGGGAGCTCTAGAGGAAGCGCTTGATAAGAAACCACCGACGTACTTCCGCTTGTGTAACGCACACACTGCTGCGCATTCATCATCATTCGAATCGTTCTATTTTGGTCATAAATAAGAATTCATTAGCCTGTTTCTTTATCTCTATTGTCGACTTGATTGTTTACATTTTATCGCTCCTCTCTTCTAGCTGTTCTAATGGCCGAGTTTGCCAAGCTGATAACATGCCTGTTTCTGGTATTCAATGAGGAGGGCAAGGATGCCCAGAAGTTTGTGCGTTCGCTGCACAGGACAATCATTGCCAATCCCGTGGACACGCTCAAGGTGTGCGTACCCTCGCTGGTATACATTGTGCAGAACAATCTGCTGTATGTGTCGGCCTCGCATTTGGATGCGGCCACGTACCAGGTCACATATCAACTAAAGATCCTCACCACGGCCATGTTTGCCGTGGTCATCCTACGCCGTAAGCTGCTCACCACGCAGTGGGGTGCCCTGCTCCTGCTGGTCATGGGCATTGTCTTGGTTCAACTCGCCCAGACTGTCACGAGTCCGAGCGGCAGCAGTGACTCCTCCCCCTCGTCGTCGTCAACTGGCGGCGGTGCAGCATCGTCGTTGAGTGCGATACCCGAACAGAATCGGATGTTAGGATTGTGGTCCGCCTTGGGTGCCTGCTTCCTGTCCGGTTTTGCGGGCATTTACTTCGAGAAGATTCTTAAGGGAGCCGAGATCTCCGTGTGGATGAGAAACGTGCAGCTCAGTCTGCTGAGCATACCATTTGGCCTGCTCACGTGCTTTGTTAACGACGCCAGTCGCATCTTCGAGCATGGTTTCTTCCATGGTTACGATTTCTTTGTGTGGTATCTGGTGCTGCTGCAGGCCGGCGGCGGCCTCATCGTGGCCGTTGTGGTCAAGTATGCGGACAACATTCTGAAGGGTTTCGCCACATCCCTGGCCATCATCATATCCTGCGTGGCCTCCATCTACATCTTTGATTTTAATCTCACCCTGCAGTTCAGCTTTGGCGCTGCCTTAGTCATCGCCTCGATCTTTATGTACGGCTACGATCCGTCCCGATCTGCTCCCAAGTCAACGGCACAGACGACGGGCGATGAAGAGAAGCTGCTGCCGCGCGTCTGAAATGATCTGGATCGCCCCCCCAACAGTATTTGTCCCAAGAGCCCAGAGTTGGGCCGTGTAATGCTTACATTTGATGTACTTTGATATTCCCACTACTCTGTATGCGTGTGTGCATGTGTTTGTTCTTTGTGTGTGTTTTATTTAGTAATTATGGATTATATGAGAATCCACATTGCCCCTGGAGTCACACAACTCACTCCAATTATGTACTATACTTATCATTTTGTTTGAAATTAAAGGAAACAAAGAAACTCAAGAAATAATTTCTTTATTCAACATTTAATCGATCTTAGGTGCGATTAATCTATGGGGAATGCTTTTAAATCATATATTTTAATGTATTTCATTCGTTGTATACATACTTTTATAGTTCCTGGAGAGGTACATTTCATTCGGTTTATTATATTTAAATACATTTTCCATTAAGGTTTCAGACTGCCGGGAGGGGAATTTGAGTTACATTTCCTTCAGGGTTCGCCGTATACATTTTCCAAATTCCTGGAGAAGTACATACCTTTTCTTGAATTGAATTTAAAGTAAATTAAATCTTCTTTAGGGTACATGCAGCAACGAGTAGGAAAATTGTCTACTTCTGACTAGAGAAGGGCTGTGTAATCATTCGACCACCAGTGATTTCGTTTAAGTTGAAAAAAAAAATAAAAATAATATAAGCGTTCATTTCACTAATAATTGGTGAGCTTTCGCGTTCGCTTCGGCTCACACAGAACAGAGAGTATTCTAATAATAGTAATAGTTACGGTCCGAAAAAAAAAAACAAACTTCTTAAGACTTTAAATATAAAATATAATCCTTAGGGAAGCTAATCTAGGTAGATGACCAGCCCAGGGCCACATTGTTGGTGTGTGACTGGAGGCCAAGGATAATCTGAAAGACGCGCAGAGCCGGTCCAAGTTTAAAGCCAAAACCATTTATCACATCCTCGCGCGTGAGCAGCAACAGCGAGGCGCCATCCACGTCCTGATGTTTAAATGCTTCAGCCTCATCCGGATAGAAACGGGCCAGATATTTGACAACCTGCTCAACAGTCCAGGTGCTCACCGGACTTTGGTCGTCTCCCATCTTGGGCCCTGCATCCTTTAAGGGTTCTGGAGCCGCCTGAATACTGACAGGAGCGACTTCATCTTCATCGCTGGCAGTGGGCACCGCCGCCTCCTCCAATGGCTGCTGGTCCATGCGCTCCAGCGGCATCGGTGACTCTTCTTTTGGTTTTTCTTGCTGGCCTCCTTCTTCGGGCTTCTTTTCTAGCCCTTTTTCATCCAACTTTTCCGGCAGATCTTCGTCCGGCTTTAGGACCACCTCTTCCTTGGGCTTTTTATTGGTCCCCTCTACTGTAAGAGCTTCCTTTGACTCTTCATTTTCCTCCATAGACATGCGCTTTTCCTCGTATTCGATTTTCTCCTTTTTTATATTCGGCTCCCCCTTTTCTTGTTCCTTTGGGTCATCATTCTTGGTGAATGGTTCTGTGGCAACTGTGGCGGCGACTCTGTCTTCTGTTTTTAACCTTTCCTTCGATTCCTGAGCGGTTTTGCCCTGCTTGACTGGCGGCGACTTCTCCTGACCAGCGGGATCCGACTGGGCACGCTTTTTGCGTCCCGGATATGATTTGCGTCGAGACTGTTCACTGGCCGAATGGTCGTTATTATTGTTCGTGCCAAACTCACAGCCGTGGCATTTCCATTGGCGCTCGCTGAGATCGGAACCGTCCAAGGGCGGATCATGGCAATTGCGGTGGAAAGAATACACGCACACAGAGCAGATGGCCAGATCTGTGCCCTTGATGCCGCAAATGCGGCAGTGGCGGCATGACGCGCACTTGTACTTTTTGCGAGCAACGGCCAGGATATCAAATGTGATGGTGAGGCAGGAAAAGTGCCCTGGAAAAACACATAAACCAATATATGGGATGAAAATGAGCATGGAGTTGAAAGAGGTTGGGTGGACTGGGGATTTAGGGGTAAGGTACATACATTTGTGCTGGCAACTCTTGCATGCGAGATAATTGCTCTTGTGGCCAGAACCACGCTTTACTTCCATTTTGCCGCACTTTTCGCATATATCAAACTGACGCAGTGGCTGCCCGGACTCCAAATCTTGCAAAGCACTAGTGGCGGATAGTTCTGTCTTGGGATTGGGCACAGCCACCGCCGCAGGCGGTGTAACTGGCACTGGTGGTACCACGGCCGATGCCGGCAATGGCGACGCTTGCACATTGCTATTCGCTGGCGTTGAGTTGCGGGGCCCACGCGAGATATAATTATCAGATGGATCGTAAACTTGCTTGGGTTTCTATAAGGTGTTGAATGCAAATAAAATGCAAAGCTTGTCAGTACGGGGGATTCTGGCAAATCGGCGGGAAATGTAACCTACCTTGACGCGTCCTGTGGTGCGAACGGCAGTCGATGCTGAGACGGTGCCTACCGTTGCAGCAGCATCGTTGCTGTTGCTGCCAGTGCTTGAATTCAAGTTGTTAGTGGCACTGGCGAACTCGTCTTTGTCCTCGTCCTTGGTACGCTTCATCTTAGGCCAGCAAATTGCTTAAAAAGGAGGCAGACTATACGAAAATGTTGTTACTTGCGCGCCTGTGTGACCTATCGATAAGTATATATGGTCCGACCCTCAGAAATATACCGAAACATACCGTCTCATTTAAAAAATATACCGTAAATATACTGACGAATTCAAGTTCTATTTTACATATTCCTCGTTTTTGATATTCCGCCGAATATTATTAGCTAGATAAAACTTTTTGCCATGCCCACTTTATTTTATACGATTTATGAATCAATTTTTTACTTAAATGGTTTATTCTAAATACTTGCTTTTATTGGATCTTGTCTAAAAAAAAGGTTTTATCAAAATAGGTCAAAACAAAACAACGAAAAAGGATAGTTGTTCATTTTGCTCAATTTAAACAAAATAGTTAAACAAACAAAAAAAAAAAAACAGTCGAAATGTTGCTGGTAACCTGGGAAGACAAACAATAAATAATCAGAAATAAACATTATTCGATAAAAAACAAAAATAAACATTATAATACGAATTATACAATAAAAATCAAACATAATAATTATTCAATAAAAATCATGAATAATATTTATTTTAATAATTATACAATAAAAATTACAAATAATAATTATACAATAAAAATCAAAAATTATAATTATTCAATAAAAATGAAAAATAATTCTTATTATAAGAATCATTCAATAAAAATAATAATTATATAATAAATGTTTTGATTAAAAAATAATAATTATTCAATAAAAATCAAGAATAATAATTATACAATAAAAATCATTGATGAATCAATTTTCTACTTGATTGGCTTAATTTAAATAATTGCTTGTATCCAATACAATAAATAATGTTGCAAATGAAATTTAAAAGATTGATTAAATGGACAAAATATACCGTCGGCTTTATTTTGACATCAAAAAATACCGGAAAGTATTAAAAATACCGCAAAAGGTCATCCTGTTGCGCGCTCGGTTGCTCAGTGAGACCGTTTTTGTTAAACAAAAAAACCAGGCTAGGGATGTTTTGGTATGAAATATTTATGGATTCAAAATAAATGATTGAAGTTCAAGAAAAGGTATATCAGGATAATAATGTCATCATTCTCGCTTATATGAGAAGGCAGATTAAGAAAAGTTATATCGGGATATTATTTAATGCATAATATTAGTTTGTCGCGTGCTGTTGAGGTATTTATTTGAACGAGTTAGGGAATTAACGCATAGGCATAGCGTTAATAGATTTGGGGTATTGATTTCTATGCACATAAAATACCAAACCCTATGATTTCCGTTGAATTTTTAAATGAATTAAAATTTATTTAAATTTTGGCAAAATAGTTTGAACAAAAATATAGTACAATTTGTCGTTGTCTTTTAATGCATGCCTTAACATTAACGAAGCATTGAAGCACTACAAACATTCAATAGGTAAATAACTTAATTCCGGAATTAATTTACAATTGTCTATATAAATATTTAAGTATTCCATTCCACATTTTGTGCGCTCTCCGATAAATCGCCCAACCCATATCCTTTAATCGATTTTGATCCGCCTGCCATATCGCCAGGCCAAACGCACCAGATCGCGATGCGACAGGGCCCAGGCAAGTAGACACACAAGGCCGGCTATCAAGCCAATGCCCAAATGGGTAAATAGAGCGGAACTTTGGTACTGCACAGAGGGGACGAAAGCATAAAAGATTAGACAGATTTTGAAATTAATAAATAGATATAGCACTTACCCAATAGCATATGAGCCCAGACAGGATCAGAGTCCCGGCAAAAAGCTTGGCTGGCTTAAGGCCCAGCAGCGGATTCAGCGACAGCGGCTGATACTGTTGCCTGATATAGTAGGTACTGTAAAGGATGCGTCCCAGCATGTTGATGCAGTTGGCAAAGATGAAGCCAACCGGCCCAAAGATGCCCGTCAAAATGTAGGATAGGACGAGGAAGCTGACCGAAAAGATGGCCATCAGATAGTTGTACTTGTCAATGTCCCGACTGGTGTTGGTGGCGAACATGTAGCCCTCACTGATCCCATTCACAGACAGCAGATAGATGGCCAGGCAATGCCACTGCAGCAGGCTCTGGGGCAGCCCGCCGGCCACAAAGTCTGGGCCGCCATACAGCAGCAGCACTGGGTAGGAGTAGCTCTGGCCAAAGGTGAACGCCAGCATGCCAATGGAACTGACTCCCAGCAGAAGATTGTTCAGCACGCTGCTGGCCTGTCGCACCTGGTCCGAGGGCTGTTTGGCCAGACGCGTGTCCCGCGATATGGTCTGCGTGAAGTAGAAGTAGGAACTATCTTCGATGGGGCGAAATATAAAGCGAGCTGCCATGCTGCCCAGATTGTTGACCACATCATAGGTGGCCTGCTCGCCAAAGCTCAGCACTGGGGAGACCGACATTACATACTTCTCGCCCTCGGTGAGGATCTGCTTGAGCACACCCTGCTTGACAAAGCTCAGCGTGAGCGTTTGCAGCTCCCGATTGAAGAACTTCCCAATGGGATCGAACATAACGCCCGGCAGGAACTCGGTCAGCCGCGTGAAAGGGAAGTCGTCCATGTGCTCGAACAGTGTCAGCTCCCAGGATGTGGGTGTCGGCTGTTTCTTCCGAGCCTGCTGCAGTTTGTAGTCATTGAAGCGCCCGATGTAAAAGTAGAAAAATCCGTATTGGCCGAGGACAATGGTTACTGCACTGGCCATCTGGGCAATGCCAAAGGCTGTGATGGCCGCACTCCTGTCGCCAATCACGATCCACAGAAAAATGGCTGAGCGCACGAAGATGTGGAGAGTGTTTAACAGAATTTTAAGCTTGACAAAGCAAAAGACCTGGGCCACGAAGACGGTGGACTCGGCGAACAGTTCCAGGACACAGGACAGGGCAACGGCATAGCAGGCGAACTCATATTGGGAGGAGTAGACAGCGTCTACGGTCGAGAGCCAGTTGAGCCAAATGTACAAACAGGGGCCACAGAGGACGACACAGATGGGTACACTGCAACAGATTGTGGCAAATTATGGTTTGGGTTTGAGATTTGTGGATGGATTTGTGCTCCTCAATGCTTACGTAAGCCACATCTGGTTGATCAATTGAGCCCACGAGCACCTGTCTCGCTGCTGCGAATTGGCACTGAGTGCAGCCCGATTAATGGCCTCCCGGGACAAGAAGAGCAACGTACTCTCGAGCAGCAGCAGGCGCACATTCATGATACCCAGCACCTCGCGACCCACATTGCGCACAATGTACGCATTGATGCCGAACGTGAGGATGCGGCATAGTATCTGGGAACAGGGTGATAAGAATAACAAGGCATCAGAATGGTGACTAATTGCTGACGGGCTGGGGGCTGGGCTGGCTGGCTGGTACTCTCAATACCAATCTCACCAAATGGGGCCAAATTCGAAACTGCGCTCACCTGAAAGATGATACTGAAGCCAGCGCCTAGTAGGCTGCTCTCTAGCACGTTGCGTGCCATTGCTCTGTATTAGTGAGTCGGCGGCATTGCATGCAGACAGCAAATCAAAGTAAATTTGATAAAATAACAAGAAAACTGTTGACGAAAATCGAAATCATTTGATAGTGCTGGGAAGTGTGTGTCGCGGTGAACAGCTGATCCATCTAATTCCGCTCTTGCGCCTAACAGCACAAAATATTTAACGAGCTATTCAGCCTGTTAACATATGGCTGAAGGAACATCAATTCGATGCTTCTACACCTTAACTTCATATTTTAAATACTATATAAAGAAGGCATATATGAATAAATATATATATAGTTTAATTTTTTCTCATATTTCTTTGTAGATTTCACTAACAATCTATGAAACTTTGGTCGCTTTTAGCTAAGGAATAATACACAATAAACTAAGGGCGCCAAAAAAAAACCGCGATGTTATCGAGGTTTCTCCAGCTGTGCTGTTAACACTTTGGCGCTTCATTTGGGATTTTCAATTAAATAAATTACCAGCTTAGTTAACTATGGCCATCTCAGTTGCTCACAAATTACTTGCAACGGTACGATGTTAGAGGCATGCCTCACGTCCAGCTCAAACTGGCGAAGCAGCAACTGGCGCCCAAAACAGCTGGCGGTGACGCAGAAGAACGACTTATGGCTCGCTGTGACGGCTGAAGACTTGTCTGGCCAAGTTAGTCTGAGTTTTACCACGGCCCGAGACGGTTTAAGCCAAGCGACGCGATTATAATACGGAGTCCGAATACGAATGCGAGTTCGAGTCCGAACCATACCGAGTCGTTTATTTGCTCCGTAAGAAAGAAAGAAAGGTGCGCGCGCGCATGCGCTGTCGTTTAAACCAAGCTGAAAGTAATATTAATAGTATTAAGAAAACCGAAAAAGCGAGTGGAGTGTTCTGCAAGACAGAGCGTGAAGTGCAGCCGACTGCTGAATTGTTTTTGTTTTGTTTTGTTTTGTTTTGTTCAAGCCTTTGCATTGTTGTTGTTGGTAAATAGTTTATACAGATAAATATGCGGAAAATCTAATCCGTTAAAACGTAACAATAAACGACGTCAACTGGCTATTGATTACAAGATTACAAGTCGTGTGTGTGACACTTTTGCAGTGCAGGAAAACAGGTTATTGTCATTGCTATTTATTGTTGCTGTTGCCTTGCTGTTGCTGTTCCTGGTGCTTAGGGCATTTTGGCACACTCACCTGCTCGCTCGCTGGCAGCCTGGCAGAAACGCGGTCATGCCGCTTAACCTGCCCTGGTTATAGATCCCGACCCAAAGCGTATTTATCAGTGGAACCGACGGCGAAGGAGCCGGAACTGGGCGAAGCGGCAGTAGCAGCTGCCTTCCACTACAATCCAGGATGTCGGACATTTACTACTGCAGTAATAGCCAGGTGAGTGATCTAGGCATTCCCTCATCAGAGGAAATCACTTGCTGCCACTGGAGAAGAACTCGTTCAGCCATCGGGAAATGGGGCAACATTTCTGATGCGCCTTTTTAGAACTAAAGAAAAAACCTCTTCAAAGCTCAAGATTTTGTTATGTTCTTCTGCTAAAAAGATTTGAGTAAAAGGGCTCAAAGATTAATATTTTTCTGCCCAAAAAATGGCAAAAATTCTATACGTTTTTTGAGTTCTACATGATACTAGAGATTTTAAGGATTTTTTGGTCTTCTTATTAATTTTTGACTACAAATCAAAGCAAATGACAAATATATTGCAATTTTTGTTGAGACTTTCCCTATATATGTGCATACATCTCCCCCCATCTCTTTGCCTTGTAAAATATCTGGCTCGATCCCAAAGCGATTATATAAATTCTGAAAAGGGCAACGAAAAACCAGACATCTGTAATCTGTAAATCTGTCTGGGAAACGTTTGAAATTGTTTCTTTTCTTTTTGGCGATCTCGCCTAAAACGGCTTTCCAATCGTTGCTTGATGGCTGCTCCATCGTCATTTGTCATAATTGGAAATTGGTCGAACAGACATAATTAATGAAACAAAAGTAAAAGCGCCAAGCAACCGGGCGGCCAGTCGTAAAAAAAACAAAAGCAAACTACTGTTTGATTTTGTCATCTCGCCGATTGCATAATGCCTGCCTGCACTAGTATCTGGGGTATTGATAGCCATAGCCCCCTGCACACGATTTTCAACGGTGCATCCGTCCAATCACCCAATACTCCCCTCTCCCTAGCTTTCCATATATCTGTAATTCGAGTATTTGTTTGGGATCTGGCTACTGTGAAATTTATGGAAATCATAATGATAGACAGCTAAAAGCCCCGCCTCCTCTTTGAGGGGGCAGTCACCAGCATCCACACATAATCAAAGAGAGACCCAGTACACAGAAAAAAGAATACAAACAACAATATTTGAAAATATGTTTCTCAAAATATCGCTGTTTTCAAATGCTAGTCGGAATGGGACAAAAAAAAAAAATAGTTTGCTTGAAAAATAGGGAGCTCCTGGATATATGGCTATTGGGTTTTTTTTTTCCAGTGTAAAGTCTGAGGCTCGGCTGTCGGCTGTCGGCTGTGTGGCTGTTTCAAGTGAAAGTGCGTCCCGTTATAAGCCAATTTTGACTTAGTAACTTACTTTTGCTGCTGCTGCTGTTGCCTCTGCCGCTGCTACTGCCTTAGGGGCATGGCTTTTAAAATGATGCCCGCCTCGGCCGCCTTCTGCATTGGTATTACAATACTACTACGAGTATAACCAAAAGAAATCAAAAGTTTTACTGGAGTGCGTCGCCGTCGTCATCGGCTTGGTCTTGGTCTTGGTCTTTGTGATTTTAATTTTCAGCTGTTTTCATGCAAAAATTATGGCGGTTGGGTTTGATTGTTGTTGTTGTTTCAGCAGTGGAGTGGCTTTTCTTTTCTTTTTGGTATAGTAATTTTGTATTATTTCCCTCTTCCCAGCCGGCAGCAACCGCTTTTACGAGTGTGCATGTGGCGTGTATAAATTTGTTTGTGAAATGAATCGTTGGAGACTTTTGTTACCATAGCTGTTTCTCTTTCTTTGGGCCTTTGTTTTCTTGGCTGATGAGAATTTTTCCAAAAACCCTAAATATGTCGCTCTTAACAATGAAGTTGAAAAGCGAGCTCTGTAATACCGAATCAGTGGATACTCTGAAGCACTATTATAGGGCAAATCTGTACACATCAATTGACTGGATATGGCAGTGAATCGCAGTAGAAACGGGGTTCAAGTGGTTCTTCTTGAATTTTTTATCAGAATAACATATATATAATCCTTAAAAATATAGATTTGTGCATGCTAATTGTAGAACCTTTCTGAAATAAATAGTATCCAAAAATCTGACACATTTTTTGTTAAGCATTTAATCACTTCAGTTTCCTGCTGTTTTAAGAGTTTTTCTATTGCGATTTTTTATGGAAAAATAGTTTTAATAATAATAAAAATAGTTTTAATTTGGCTAGCAAAAGTTTTGGTGCACTTGGTTTTTAATAAGCTGTATTTTTTTTTTAAAACATACCTTCAACTCTCAATGGAAAATATTTCTGAGATATGCTGAGATAGTCAAAATTTCAAAAACAAATAAAAACGCCTTGAAGTGGAAATTTTTCCTATATGTATTCTTGTTATCAATATAGGTATATTTAATATTCCTTTATCCAAATTTTTTCGAGTAGAAATATGATGGATTACTGTAGTTGTACCATCTGGAATGCAAAGGAATTGTCTGAGCAGAAAGTCCCTAAAATGATCACCATTAGAAAATGAATTCCCATAGAGTATTTGTGGTTTCTTGTGGAAGTTTTCTTAATTAAAGTACATCTAACAAACAATATGTATGCAGGAATTGTCTGAGCAAAATTCATCAAATTATGCCCATTAGAAGGCGGGTCGGGTCGGGTAGGGTCGGGTTCTTATGGGTAGGCCCCATAAGTGAACCAAGGCCACAGATAATCATGACAAAATGTGAACAAAAAGAAACGTTTGTTAAGGGTAGTATGGGTACCAAGGTTTTTGCGTTGACCAGAGTTTTGTTCGGCTTTTGGGTTATTTATTGTAGATTGTTGATTGTTGCAGGGCGTGTGTGTGGCGCGCATAGGGCGCTCGCTCATTGTTGTTGTTGTTGTTGTTGTTGTAGGTGGTGTTGGCCGCCAAAGGCGGCATGCATACTACAAGCCGACTATTGAGCAATTTGGTTTTTATGTTGGGATTGTTATTTTGCAGTTGTCTCTCTGGTTTCTTTTCGTAGTTGTCTTTTTTTCTCTTCTGGAGTCTCCGCCCGCCGCAATTTCATCAGTTCGGCAATCTGAAATCGTACGAGTATAGGTGGGCATACCTACTACATACAAATTAAACAACTGCGGTAGCGGATTGTGTTTTTAAAAAGTTTTTATTTTACTTCGAACTTCACTGATATAGATTTAAGTAGAGGGTCACAAAGGAATTCCGGGCCAAGGGATTGCGCGATCTTAATATTTAGCTAGACTTTGCGGTGTCGCTGCTGGATCAAGACTGATTTGAACTTTCTGATCTTTGCATCGTTGATCCCTTTCGGGAATCGTTTTTCTATAAACATTTCAATTGATTTCGCCATCCCGAGTATTAGATTTCGTCATCCAAAGAGAGAACTGTAAAAGGCCTAAAGTGCAGGATCTGCAGAAAGCCGGGAGTGAGATTGTTTATGAGAAGCCGGGTGTGGGCAAACATTGGTTTTCCATTTAGGCGAGTGTCAAAGAATGGGATTGCGGCGGGGGCGCTTGAGATTGTACATCTTAGAAATCAATTAGGCGGAGGCCCAAGATTGAAATTGTTTTCGTTTTGGAAAACCAAAGATTGTTTACAACTCGTATAAGAGCTCAATGGAATTGGGTACGTTAACTCCCCCCATTCTTAAATGTTTCGTCCCGATACATTTTGAAGTTCTGATAGAGCTCTAATTTCTTCTGACAGTATTTGAATGTTGCTTTCCACTATTTCTTCTGACGGTATTCTTATTGATTTAATAAGTACAAATTTGGTTAATTTATAGCAGAAGTAAAATAACATTAACAATATCAAAATGATTAAAAATAATGTTGTTAATGGTAAGGCCGTATTACCTAATGTTATAAGGGGATTTAAAATATTAACATTATCAAAAGAAAATTGCTTATCATTTGATTGTATATAATCAACTAATTCAAAATCGCTATATCTATGATGCGATATATATTTTAGAATTTTACCCTTATCATTTATGTGGCTTATATTATTTATTACAATTGTGTTGTTGAATATAAGGAGATACGATCCTAACAAAGTAGTATTGTCTACGATATTTTTGCCTGAAACTAATATGGCACCATCCTGAATGATGTCTATTTCTTTGTTTTTTTTCCCTTTTTTTAGTGCAGTTGGCTTTAAAGCCATTAAGTAAATTGGTGAAACAGGTACTCTTTAAATTTATTTGTGCGTAATTGTTAAAAGTTTCACTTTTAAAATTATTCATTAAATAGTATTTCTCCTTACATTCACAAACTTTTTCACTTATAACTAACATTCCATCATTTTGTGAGATGGCTCTTGCATGGTAAAACTTGCAAATATCTTTAATTTGAGGATATTTTATGTAAATGATTATTAAATCTGCATTTCGAATTATTTTAACCGTTGCAATGTCCAACAGATCAGACAGTTCAACATTATGTTTTTCATGCTTATAAATGTCCTCTATTTCGTTTTTATTTAAAATTTTTGTATTGAAAATGTTTACTTTTAAGAGGGTTATGGTATCAACTAAATTTAGTAGGTCAAAAGTTATTAATTTTAAACGATGCTTTCTCAGTATCGTTTCTTCATTGAAGATGACATTCTTTAATGAATTTGATAGCAATTCAATTTCTTTGAAAAATTTGGAATTTATTACAAATTGTTTATTATTATTTTCAGTTAATTCATTTACTTTATTTTGTATTTTCAAAAAGTCGTCATGATCAGGGCTGCCTGCTATCCATTTCCAAATGGTACCTAATTCATTTATTCCCCTTTCTTTCCGTTTTGGAACTAATTCTGAAATCATTAATTTTAATAGACTTAAGTCCATTGATATTTCCCACTCATCGTCTGAATTAATTGATTTGTTGACATATTTGGATTCTTTATCAATTATCTCTCTATAAAAACTCAAATTAGTAATATGGAAAAGTTCAGCGTATGTTTCATAAGTGTAAACGTCTCTGTCGTCTTTGAGCAATAGATAGTCACTATGCGTATAGTCAATTACTTCCGCAGTCGTCAATATAACAAAAGTCAGTATTAGTATATTCGCATACATTTTCTGGAAAAAATATTTAATATTTGATGTTATCTTTATGTATAATTCTGTTTCTATTGTTGATTATAATTTTATTCGGTCGATTTTCCTTAACTACCTGCTTTTTGT